TTTACAGGCATCATGTAAAAGTTTCAACATCTATTCGTTCACAGTATACCCCCCAAGTACGGTTGTTAAGTAGATATGATCAGAGCAAAATTCTGAAATAAAATAGAAATCGAGGAGCAACAAGGCACTTGGATATGAACGACAAACAACACTTAACATTTTGTTGTGGAACAGACAGGTATGATAGATTACTAGATTAAATTCATACTATCTCTTGTTTCTAGAGTGAAATGTGATCAGGGGTTCCATATGAGAGAATGCAGTAATAAAGAACAACGAGTTGTGATATCTATCAAAGTGAAGTAAGTTCAAATGAAGGAACGGAAGTCAGAGCTGCAATAAGGAAGGCTGTTTATTAGAGCCAGCCACACAGTCCTAGTGTAAAAGTTCGAGTTAGCATGTTATAGGTTGTCTTAGTAGAATAGCCAATCCAGCATAAAATTGGAAACATGAGTCTGGATGGCGAGCATAGGAGAACAACCTCAATATCACAGATATATTTAGATGGTGAGAAAGATGTGTCACTCGCCATTGGGTTGGAGTATATACAAGGTGGTCTCAGACTGGTGGGGTTGTCGTCCTTAACATTTGGAGACCCCATAGCAGCGCTATCGAGGGGGAGAGAGATAAGAAAGGATTAGGTGGTGTATATGTTGGGTTAGGGGGTCATAGAGTTGTGTAGAGTGTCTTGACTTTGATAGTGACTAGAATCAATAGGTGGGTGCCCAAGTGGGTCAACGTTATAGCTTCCGTGTTTTTGGTCGGCAATCTTAGTCCTATTATGAGTAGCTATGGGGGATGTAGGTTTGTGGTAAGGAATGCGGGATTACCTGATATTGTTGCCATGAGAGGTGTTCGTGTTGTGTGTGGAGTACTGGTTCCTGAAACTTGTAAGGTCCACACTCTATGACTTACTGATATCACATGTAGGTGTGGTTCTTGTCGGATGCAGCCTTATCTTAAGATGAGGGGGAAACGCTAGTCCACTGTGTTTGTTGTAGGGAATTCTACTGCTGTGGAAAGGTGAATATTCTGGGTTAAGGGTGCTGGAGTACTTGTGGGTTTCTACAGAGAGTCTAGAATTATTTCGTATTGCGGTGTCAGAGTTGCTGTATCTATTTGAGCGATTCCTGGGAGGAATATTTAAGGCTTTTTATCGTGGCCGCTAGGGCGATTCTGACACTATTGAGGCATAAATGGATTGGCATTTTGGGGTAGATGAGTGTTTGGACTTAACATGAATGGTTTCAGCAGCTTCATATTCACTCTTACTTTTAGGACCGATAGCAGTATGCAACGTGCTCCCGTTGTTGGTGTGTCCCACAATAGGACGAAACTGTCGTCCTGTGCTTCTCGACGAAGTAACATCCATCTTCGTATCTAGGTTAGTTAGATATAACATGGTTGCAAGAATGAGTGCCACTAAGAGGTTTACACTAACTCGTTTTAGACATTTGTTAGTTAAACCCAAAGTGATTTTGTCACAATCCATAGTCATACATGCTTTGCACCAGTCTTTGTCCAGGGAAGTATGTCAGAGACGTCAGATGGGTAGTGATACTGACCGAAATTAGTTATAAACTGCGCAATACTTGACAAGATTGTCCATTTTATTTAACCAGTAGCCACCCGACACCCCTTGATCCTAGAGATAATTTCTCTATGGGTAAGCACTCAAACTGTTAATTAAAATCTTCAGCATCACAATCCGTATGGTTTGAAAATTCTCCGATATGGCTTTCACCTTCCCATCGTCTGGACGGATAATGGCAGTTATCAAGGCTATCTAGAGTCCCTGACCTTTCCTATGGTACTTCTATTCTCAGCTTTGACGAACCCTAAGTTTGGATATAAAGCTTTGCTTCCATTCCCTCACATTACACCAATTGTGGTCGTTGTACTTTGGATTATTCGACCTTATTTGTTCATTTTTTGTGTTTCCCGTTTCGAGCTATCTACTGCATCTGATTCTCATTTTCTGCTAATCATATCGTTAATTTCATCTTACTGAAACGTTTGGTATGTCAAATGTGATAACTACACATTTGTGTCCAATCCTACTTGATGATCAGATAAATGTTACACTTTAGCACTTGTGAGGGCAATGCAGTCAAGTTATTGCAGCAGATAGGACTTCCCTGAATGATCATTTTAGCTTACTACGTCAACTAGACTTACATATATAGATGTTACATTCAACATCTTTTGGTAAACAATCGAATAAGACGAGTCTATTAATAAGAAAGTACTTCATATGTTGTGTTACAATAACATATCGAATACTCTCACTCTAATTTTCAAAATTTCAAACGCATACTCAGTAAGAATGATTTCCGCTTCGGCTTGTCAAGATCACGTGCATTGTGCAACACGTAATGGATTCAATATTTTTGCTTACAGTAGGATTTTGAATACGTCGAATTTTTGGATGGTTTTCATGAACTGTTGCCAATCATGATTACCTCTCATTAACTGTCGTGTAATTTTCATCCTCCCCTTCGCCCTCCGTTTTTGTTCTTTCGCCTCACGATTTTTTCTCTTCAACCACCTGATTAGAGAGAGAGAGAAATCAGTGTTATTTTAAATTAAATTGGATTCTATAATTCAGTCTCGTGTAACAATGTGGATTCCGATTTAAAAGTGAATGTATGGTTCTTGAAACTAGATAGAAAGTTTGCCAAGTCAATTAAGTTGTGCTATGAGTGAAGTCATTAAAATATTGTTAAACTCTATGATAAATATCCCAATATTTCAATTAGTTCGCTGAGTGCATTGTCTTTATGTGTAAGCCACAGCCGTGATTTTACACTACTTCATTGTTTTTGTAATCTAAAACGGAAACGCTTTGAAATACTGAGATCGGATTGAAAGTCTACATTTATATGAAGTGAAAAGACATCTGAACTATTTTCTAACAATTTCTAAAAGTTTATGTACAGACATCCTTTCGTGTAAGCTTTTGTTCAACTGAACAAATGTCACAATAAAACGCGCACTAATTATAGTGTAGAGCCGTCACTTTTTTTGGACTACACATGCGGTTGTAAAATGAATATAGTTCCTTTACAGTGTGAATTAAGAAGGTACCCTAAACTTTTATCCCGTTCTGAGTAGATTTGTCAGAGTTCACACTTTCAATCAAGCACACAAATGTTTATGATAAGCTGTTCTTTAGAATTAAAAAGTAAAATTGTCCCCCCCTCATTGTCGAAGTGTGATAATAACGTTTTACGGAAACAAATTATCTAAACAAAATTCTAACCATGTAGCTTTCGTTGAGCGGCTGCCTAGTGGTTAAGGCAGTCACCTTTCAGTTCGTTTCGAACCCCCTTACTTATTTCATTAACGCTCGCATTTAAAATGTGGCTCATAATAGAGTACCTGGTGAATGAGTTAACGTACTATAGCTTTGTATTATCTTTATATCGAGCATCTTTTAATTAGAATATTTCAGTGAGATTCAGAGTATATTCAATGATTGACCTTACGCATAAAAACTTCCAGCAAAAAAGGGAACATTATGTGTAAATACTTTGCCTTCTTTAAGGCTTTAAACCCTGTAAATTTGCAGTCCAATATGAATTACAGGATAATCCAGAATATGCATTAGACCAATAAGTGGAAAGTTCTGCTTTCTATTTAGTTCGTTCTTTTTAAAATCCTATACTGAATACCACACCAAACAATTGACTTTGTTTTAACCACTAATACTTATGGTAAGTGTGATGTTACCTTGATAACAAGCTAAACGTGATACGGTCTTCGTTTAAGTTCATGCTTTGTTGATCCTTAATCTGACACTGTTCACCTTCTTCTGTAGACTTACTTACGCCTGTTACTCCTAATGGAGCATAGGCCGCCGACCAACATTCTCCAACCCACTCTGTCCTGGGCCTTCTTTTCTAGTTCCATCCATTTCTTGTTCATTTTTCTGATGTCTATCTGCATTTCCCGGCGTAGTGTGTTCTTTGGTGTTTTTCTTTTCCTTTGGCCTTGAGGATTCCATGTGAAGGCTCGCCTTGTGACGCAGTTGTGTGCTTTCCTCAATGTGTGTCCTATCCACTTCCATCGCTTCTTCCTCCACTGGGATCTGATATGTTCTCTCCCATAGTAGGTTGTTGTTAATAGTGTCTGGCCAACTGATCCGAAGTATTTTGCGCAGACAACTGTTAATAGACACCTGTATCTTCTGGATAATGGCTTTCGTGGTTTTCCAGGTTCCGGCCCCATACAGTAGAACTGTCTTAACATTTGTATTGAAAATTCTGACTTTGGTGTTGGTTGCCAATTGTTTTGAGTTCCAGATGTTCTTCAGTTGTAAATATGCTGCTCTTGCTTTGCCAATCCGTGCCTTCACATCTGCATCAGATCCACCGTGTTCATCGATGATGCTGCCCAATTATTTAAAGGCTAGTACATCTTCCGAATCTCCGTCGAGTGTGATTGGATTGGTGCATGCTGTGTTGTACCGGAGAATCTTGCTTTTCCCTTTGTGTATATTGAGACCTATTGCTGCTGAGGCTGCTGCTGCTACACTGGTCGTCTTATCCTGCCTTTGTTGTTACGTTTGTGATAGAAGAGCCTGATCATCTGCGAGGTCTAGATGTCCACTGTATCCAGTGCTTCCCTTCAGATGTTGACGTCTTCATGATCCAATCGATCACCAGGAGAAAGAGAGAGGGTGAGAGTAAGCAACCTTGCATAACACCGGTATTTACTTCGAACAACTTCGTCGATTGTCCTCCATGCACGATTTTGCAGTTTAATCCATCATAGGAATTCTATATGTTATATCCTAGCAAATGTTAAATTAATTATGGGTGACTGCTGGGAACGGTTTTGTATTGTTATCATATGTATGTTCTTATTGGATAACTTAAGTATTTTATACATATATTCATATTCTTTCCATTTGACTTATTGACTACTATTATACGATTTACTATTGTTAAGTTATTACCAATTTATTAGTTACAGTATCTCACACATACACATTTGGCCAGATTTTGTATAATTGTTGTTTTCTACTTCATGGTATGATGCGGCCTGATTTGCTTGCATTTAAACTGCGTATGTCTGAAATACGCGATTCATATAGTAGAAGCTGTGTTCTGGCAGGTCTAGGCGGAAGAACCAATCTTGATTCAGAGTTGACCGTAAGTTGCTCGTACCGCTTAATCCGGCATTGGTCTGGTATAGTATCAAGGTCATAGGAGTCCGTGTTTTAACTGGGCGATCTAAACACGCGACATAGTTAGCAGGTCCTAGAATACAACACTTCACAAATCTAAATGATTATAGATTACATTCATTCACCACAAATTAGATAGTCTAACAATCATGCGAACTTACTGTGTAAACGCTTGCTCACATGCCTCTCTGGAATGCACAACATTCAGATGTTGTTGTTCTTCATTTTTATATCGTCTCATTTCCTCTTCACTTTTTCTTTGTAAAACTTTAGCCCTTAACCAGTTCGATAATTTCTGATCACGCGAATTTTTATCTGCAATCTAATTTTCACGGAAATTTAAACGGGTTTTGTGTAAGGATATATTCATTTTAAGAGTTCCCCTATTTATTTTTTCAAGTGTATATTGTACTACATTTATTGTTATCAGAATTAAACCTGCTTCTTTTTGTCGAATATGTTCTCTTTTATGTTTTTCCCTCTCCTCCACCTTAACTTCCATGTATTCCTGATGTTTAAGTCGATGCCACGCCTTTATGAAGTCAGAAAATCAGTGGTGTATTTAAAAAAACAGTTTCTTTGTTATATACAACATTTTCAAAAAAATGAAATGAAATATTAAATTTATCTACGGTAAACTGACGTATTGTGGACGGCTAATCAGTTTTAGATCAATTGAAGCTTTCTTCAGGATTGTTTTCCACCTAGAAAACAGCTGCAGAAATGTTTGAATCTATAAATCACTTAACCTTTTTCAACTCTAGTATGTGTATAACCAAGATAAGACTAAGTTATTTATTAGTTAGTGATCGAAAAACCAAGGATAAAATTGGAGCTTACAAAGTTTTTGCGGATTCTCCACTCATCTCCAGCGTAAAAACCTCAAAACGCTAATCACATTTGGGCTTGCTGCTTGGTCAATAAAGGACTGTTGTAAGCAGTATGCGACTACTAATTTACTAATGTTTTCAGATATATGAAAATAACCTTGTAATTTATCACTTACTTGGATAGAATTTCCCTTCGCTTTCTCGGTTAACGGCTTATCATTATTATTTTGAGACTGAGAATTACATGTCCTTTCATTTTTTTGATCACTTACATGCTTGGTTATTATTTTAGTAATATTGTTATCTTGCTCGTTGATTGAAGTTGTTCGGTACTTCTTCGTCCATGTTACGTCGTCTGTAGGTGTAACATTTATATCTAAAAACAAGTCATTGATCGTTTGCTCGAACGTTTGTTTATCTAAGTTGAAAATTAAAATATTTTAACTATGTAAACTTAATAACTGGTAAATAATATCGAGGAGCCATATGATAAAATTGATATGATGGAAAGAAAGGTCAATTTTCGATTGATTTACTCATTGTGAGTTTTGTTCAAGATTACTCCCGTTTTGATTCAATGTAATGATTACTCAATGTAGTATTTCTTTTTTTCTCGTATGATATTTTATCCCGTATAATATACGATATTCTTGTATTCCATTGATCTAATCTATGCTCAGTATGTGACTTGTGATAACTCGAAGTACTTTTCATGTGTGTGTGATTTCATCCTAATTATTAATCGAAATGGGTGTACAATCAATATATAAACCAGTGTATTTTCTACTATTATCATTATCGTCGCCATCATAGTGTTTTGGGACTAATAAATCTTGACTTATACCAGTCTTTGTTTTCTTACTTTCGCGTCGTGGGAATTGCAGAGGTCCCTCGTTCCGAGTATAAGTGACCAGCGTTTTTCCGGCACAACAATCAGCGACGACCAAACATTGCAAAAATTTATATTGCATAATCCAAACTGAATCCAGTTTCACAAAAATGTATTTTCTCCGTTAATTCTTATCTAGACTTATTGACTACAAGTTTCTGATTAATTGCACATTTCGTCTACCTCATTATCTTTCTCACAATGATTGGTCAAATGCATCCTTTTACTTACTAATTTGAATACGCCTTTACAAAATATACCACGAATTTCGATTGAGATCGTGAACTGATTGATGTTAGACCACCACTGAAAACCTGGAAGCACTAGAAATTATTACGTAGTAACCTCCACGGCCCCACATTTGATAATTACCATGTGCTCACTAGTGACTAGCTTCGTGAGGGGATTTTTGGAGTTCTATTGAGATGCCGTGGCCAGTGGAGCTAATCCGTTTCGAGTACAATGGATTATGGTCGCAAAATTTCGTGGATCGTTTGAGGTAAGACATTAACACCGTTGGATGCCGACTAAGTGGTCTCGAGTTCAGGTGTTCATGTGCGAGACTGAGGGCCCTGGGTCCGAATCCCCCGAGGAGTCCCACAATAGAACAAAACTGTCGTCCCGGGCTTCCAGGTTTTCAGTGGTGGTTTAACATCAATCAGTTCACGATCTCAATCAAAACGTAATGATCTTCACAACCTCATAATGGTATATAACAAGAAGTTGGTTTTTGTCGACAGAAAGCTCTAATTTTTGAAAACCATTAATTTTAGGTGATTACTGGATGGCTTTGCAAATATTAGCGATTAAAGTTCGGTTATTCTCAACTAGACGAAAAAAGAAACTATTCAAAATAAACGATTTTAAGTGAAAGTGGAAAAATAAATGTCTAAAGCGGAATATGATATTCATGATTTAGAGGAACATGCAAGATAATGGTATGAAAATGTGTTTACTTTTAACACACTAGGTGAATCACCTCGGTGTATAAGGAAGAAAAATAATCGTCATAAACCATCCAATTTCGTAATAATAACACACTTATCAAAGTATTTCTTGAAGTTATCTCAAAATGGAACTCAATGAGTTAACGGGTGATCTTTTTTCCCAGTTTTTTGTCAAAATTAATCCACATATTTTCTCTGCCAAAACTAAATCTATTTCCATGGATATAGGGCTAAATATGATACGCAAGGATCTTTAAACTTTTGGTTAATCATTTATTGATATTTATCGATAAGGCACATGGAAGCCTAAGGAAACGAATATGCCACTATTCAAGTGCATTCGTACCATTCACCGACTGACTGAATAAGCAAATCAGTGTATTCTCTATAACTACAAGTGAATGGTACATGTAAATCTATTGAAGGAATAAAACATCTACCATATAGATCCTTAGGTTTAGTAGACTCTCAGTTTGCAACAACATACAAAGAGATACACCTCAGGATTAACTGGTAAAGCATCAGAATGGACTGTATATTTGGCATTGGTGTTTATTTATACTAGTGAACATGAACACCCGAGTTCCTAAATGCGAAATCTATATTATTATGCAAACTACATTTCAAATCGTAATCCCGTTTCTTAACTTTATCACCAAAATAAGTGAAATATAAAAATTATATCAAATTTTCTGATTACTAATCTAGCTTTTGTTGCTCGTTTTTTGCATAAACAACGAGAGTGATAGCTCATTTTCTAGACGGGTAAATTTTTGTTGCTTAAAGTTAAAAGCCAGCTTTTTATAAATGTCAGTATACAGTTGTGGAGATTGTTGGGTTTAAGTTGATACCATTAATGGATGAATGTCAGAGCACCATTGAAAACCTGGAAGTACTACACTGCCGTTTTGTCCTAGTATGGGACTACCATGATATTATAGCTCCATATTGATGGACTTCGATATTTGTCTGCCACTCTGAAAACCCTCTTATATGAGTGCTCAGTGTATATCATTTAAAATAATATTGTGAAATGAGAGGCAAATGGATCTAAACTTACAAACTATACACTTAACAAAACAGTTCAGCGAATTATTTATTAAACCGAAGAATAAATGGAGTGGCAGACGCTTATCAGTTTTCTTTCGCATTTATAGATGTTATCTGAACAACGAAAATTTCGTGAAAGTTGAAACTATTTGGCTGCAGCCGGATAAACCAATGTCTATTTTTGTTTCAACTTGTTTTATCCATCAGGATACTCCAGTTACCCATAAATCTATCAGAAAATTAACTTGGATTTATAAATGAGTTGTAAAAAGGCAGAAATAAAATCCTTAATTATAGTTTTGACTAAGTACTCGCACATTTAACTTCAAGCCTTTTTATCTAACACTTTTATTTAGTAGTTTAAATCATACTATGGACCAACAAAAACAGTTCCCTATTTAGTTAATAATAAATGTCAGTGACTAAGAATTGGTACGGCTCTTCAAGTGACCATTCTGTGGTCGTTCATATATAATATAAAGAACTACTTGGAATAATCTGTGGAAGAACACATCAAACAGCTTACTTGTTTGAGTTAGTTTGTAACCTAAAAAATGATTTGTTCCATACACTGAATCAAAAAGTGACAAAAAAATAAAATCCTATTGTTTTACTAGTTTCACCAAATATTAGTCCCTAACTTAGTAGTCTATTCACAATGTTTGTTTCCAGTGGCCATATAGCCATTGAAACTGACTTTTAACTTCACATAAAGTATTATTAACTTATTCAAATGATTAAAACAGCTACTTGAGCCGGATTTTAGTCTAACCGAGTCTATTTAACTTCAATTCCATCAGAGAAAACTTTTAACCTTCAAACCTTTGACAGATAACTTACCGTCAGTCAGATTTCGGTCGGACTCTTCTATATTATTTTCTTTTAAGGTGAGAGACTGTTGTCCACCTAAGTTATCCTCACTGATATTAACAGGTCCTGGTATATCAGACGTCCGCCGTTGGGAAGACTGTGGACTTGCGTTCATAATTGACTTATTCATTGTATCATCATTGTGACTTAATTTCTTCAACTCGTTTATTTCGTCTTCGCTGAAATCATTTAACTCTTCGCAACTATTCTGGCTTATTATCCGTGAATAAAAAAGTTGTGGATGAAAATTTACGCGTCCCGTCTTTTTTTCATAGTTATCAACAAAATGTTCTTTCTCTTTCGATAATTCCAAGTTAAGTTCTGCCACACGTCTTCTCACATATGCATTAGAGTCATCAGAGTCATATGTTTCATCTTCTGCTAGATTTAATTCATTGTTACTTTGATCGTTGCTTAAGTGAAGTATTTCATTGTTGTTCCTAAGTTCCGCTTTGAATGCACCTTGAGTAACGTCATTTACTAGTGAACGTGCCAAAAATTCATCGTCTGGTGAATCTATCACTTAAAGGACATATAATTGTTGAGATTTAACAATTTTGTTTCTATATATAATTTTTATAGGCCCTCACGAGGATAATTTACAAATTGGAAAAAGAAAAATAGAACAACAGTATAGTGATACTGTGTAAATAGAAACTAAAAATAACCAACTGATAGTCATTCAGAAAAGGGGTTTTATAGCTTATGCTCTCCGAAATTCGCTTTCCTATATTTTTAAAACATGTGAGTAAGTAAATAAACACATTACAGAGTTTGATGATCGAATTCACCATTTTACTTTTTGACAAACATTTTGTGCAATGCTTGATGAACACTACTCATTTATACCGTTGAACTGTGCTTATCACCTAGAACTAATATTAGCGCTGTACCGTTGCAGTTAAGACAAATAGTTCGACTATCTAAGGTAGCCTTAATAACATATTTAGCACTTCGTGCAGCGTCGAGGATTAAGACAGTAGAAAAGATAAGACAAATAACCAAAATAACTAGTTTTGACGTCCACTGACGGAGCTATGAAAATTCATATACTCTGAATCAATATCTTATTTTACCCACTGTAAATAGTTAAGTTTTGTTTCTTCTTTAATTAACATGAAAGTGAAATTTACATCAAGCCTTTTTTTATCAAAATATAGACCAGAGAATTAATACATCTTCCCCTAACAATAGGTTTAAACCGATTGTTTATTCTGTAGACATTTGTTGAACGTCAATTATAAGTTATTGAGAATGATATTAAATCTTTGGGGATATTGTCATCATCATCAACAACTACTGACACAAGAACAAGGTTTTTAATAACCAGAGAAAAACTTTGCAATATTCCTAATATTTTCTCATCCGTATCATCATTAGAAGGACCTTTAGTTACGTTTTTGTTGATAATCGGAATGGATTTTGTGGTTATATGCACATCAAATGATGATCACCTCGATATATTCGTTCTTTTTTAAATAAATGCATCGTGTCTATCATATAATAATTATGTCCGTTCGATAAGCTGGTGGTTTTCTGAACTCAGTAGCCCAGTGAATAACATATGGAGTGTTTAAAGCGAATGGTATTATGTTTGAGTCTCAATGTATTATATCAACACCAGAATGAATAGCTCAACAAACAGTCATATCTGACGTATTTGCGTTGATGTATATTTACGTAAGTGACATAAACGTTTCAACATGAAGCAGATTCCACTTTTTATTGATTGCTCTTAGATCAAATGTCCTATTTCGTTTTTTTGCTGAAGCTAAGACTTTTAGAATGTTAATTCGGAGATGCTATAAGTCACAGCCTTTCTATCCATATTTCCCTGGATATTCAGTGACAGAGCCTTTGTAAATTCTGATAAATTCATTAGAAACAATCATAGTCAAAGCAGATTATGTTATTAGGAATAAGCTGAATGATGAAAAAAGTTTCAACAGTGAAAGTTATATGAAGAAAGGTGCTGAAAAAATTTAGAGCATTGCAGAAAGAGCAGCTTCAAGATCAAGGCTCTTGTAAAACGTATATGTGTATGATTCTGACTTAAACCAGTTAATTATGACATGAAATTAAAAACCGCAATTAAGTGTTTTCAGAAACATTCTGTAGATCAATAACTTGAACCTTGATATACCGAAGTGACATTGGTGTGTAATTTGTGATGGAGCAGGTGCGTTCACTCTTATCGTTCTTAAATCCTGGGTTTTTAAATTACATTATGAACTTTTCGTCTCTTTAAGACTTATTTTCTTCTCAAACCATGTCTTCGATACTTAATCCTCTCTAATATCACTGAAGTTTCATCAAACAGAGTTTAGAAGTTACGTTTTGCGTTTATCTGACATTTTATGTTGGAATCGGTTGATTTAGCACCCACCATTAGCAGTAATATCATTAAATTTGAGCGAAAGGATGGTTTTGGCGACGCAAATGTGTTTTTCAAAGGTTCAAAAAGCATACTGCTGACTATCACAATAAAGCGTGTCATTATGGTCAATGATTGGATTTGCTCGACTAGCGCGACGAACAAAAGGTTACTTGCTGGCCGAGGCCTGTGGTCTACTTGTCTAGGACTCCTCCAGAGCGAAACGAATTGTTTTTTCTTAAAATTATAGAAAGCTAAGCTTTTCAAAAAGACTTATATACGAGGTATATGTTTGCTAGCCAACAAAATCATGGTTTGACAAGTTTAAAGAAATGATTATTTAAATATTATTATACATCGATTTTGACTGCCTGATAGGACCTCAAACTAACACTATCAAATCATTTATAAACATGTATATATATCCCATATATACTGACGTACGGTCTTTGAAATTCGTAACTGCCTTCACGTGGCTTTTATATTTTTATTTCATTGGTTCTCCACTCAAAATTAACAGTATCCATTAGCGACCAATAATATATGTTGACAGAACCCGTGTTAATCTCACACTTCATTTTGGGACTCTACTTCATAAACGTAGTCAGTCAGGTTTCTCACTTCTTATCGTTTATTAGCGTTCATATATTACCAACTGACAAATAATAGAATCGATCCTACTGTCGGACATTTATCACCCGTTAAGTTAGGCTCTAACAGTAGCCTCTTAGTTGATACAAGGCCTGCTTTTGGTTACATTTCTTCAAATGAAGTTTAGGCCATCTAAAAAACATATAGTCTACTCTGATACATACAGAACCTGCAAAAAATCTAAATCCGCCGAGAAAGCGGTTGATGTGAAGCTATAAAAACACGCTGATCAATCCGCATCGTACTCTGATCTTTCTACATCTACAGTAGACATGTACCATATACATGAACATGACATCTGACTACCTTGCATCTCTCTTATAAACATAGATAAAACTAATCACAAATCGGCATCATTTGGTATTTCTTACAGTCCATCCAAAACTGTCACTTATTGTGAGCAATCTTCGAGAGGTGCGGCTGACCGCATACACAGCAAACACAAAATAGCATACCCTGTATAGTGGCTCAAAGATTATAAATCGTATTGCAATAGACAGACCAGTGATGTAGATCTTCATTACTCATCCTGAGATATATTATCTTCCTCAACTCAGTATACACAGGCTGACCATCAAACAGATACTTATAAAAAATCTGGATGCAACTTTGTCGACCATAACAATTTTAATACTTGCAATTCTAAGAGCAACCGAATGGAAATAAACCTCACCCAAACTGTTCACAACCTATTACCGTACAAATATGTAGTCAGTGTTCCAGAGTATCTCAATCTCTAGATTCCAAAAAAGAAACTGTAAAACTAATTGACCATATGCATTCGGAAGTGTTGAAAAAACTTGAGCGTATGCAAAATATCGTTGTGTATAATATATCTGATAGTGCGAGAAAGTCTGTAAAAGCTACTGTATTAAAAATGTGTGAATTGTCGTAACCTTGGTTCATAAATCGAAGATTACGTAAAAAACAGACTAAAACTTCCTATCTCATTCTCTTTCACATTCTTAGTATCACAGAAGCCAGTCTTCTTAATAATCAATCAGTACTTAAGCATATTCCGACATTTAAAAAGATTAGAATTATCCAAAACAGGATATTATTCAGCGCCGAATCATCAATGAACTGCAAACCAATTAACCCAGCCTACGCACTAGTAATAGTTACAATATTGGCCAACACGCGTATCATTTAGCTGGGCACACAACAACCTGGTGAAGATTCGCCTCCAAGAATTCACCAAGTGAGATTGGCTATTTACATCTTGGTAGTTAAGTGAAAGCTTCTAGCGTTTATTTGATGTTCAGCTACACATTCGAAGCTTCAGCTCGACGTTGAAATTGAATATTGGAACTAAGATATTCTAGCGGCTACACAAGTATGGTAATAACGTCTGCTTAGGTGAATAGTCTTGTAATGGTTTAGTAATCTCATACTGACAGCTAGTTTTGGTTTGTCAGATCGCCTTACTCTGATGCATGTTTTTATTACTGATTTTCACCTACCTTCAGCACACAACGAACCTTCATGTTCGAGGCAAACCAACCTGAAAGTGAGCTTTACGACTAGGTAGATTGTTCACTCCTGGATACAGGACTGCTTAATTTAGTTGATAAACTACTAGACAGCCTTCATTAATAAGTATGAAAGGTTAACTGACCCATGTTAGTTCTTGAAGCAACTATTCCTATCACGTTCGAAGTATTCCCGCAGTCTCTTAAACTTGGGGGAAATTTGACCCATTTTGGGGAAGCCCCCATAGAAAATTTTGGAGAAATAGAGCCAAAATCTCGAAATTTTCCCTAAACCCTGGTGAGGGGCGTTTGGTTTTGGGGAGTTCCTCAAACTTGGGAGATCGGGCGCCTATAACTGTATACCTACAGATAGGTCTTCAATCTTCAGTAGTAAGGATAGGTAATCTCTCGATCTGTACTAATCCTTACAGTTTGTATCTATAAGGAAGTCCAATCTTGTTTTGAATATATCAACAGAAGGCGCTGATATTATATGTCCTGGTAGAGAATTCCAGTAATTCACTATTCGGTACGAGAAACAAAACTCCGGACGTAGACGATTTAATCTCAACTCTTAAATTTTCTTGGAATGTACAAGTGATCAGTTCTAGACGCAAGGAAAATAACAAAGTGACGTCTCACTGTTTGTATAACCGCAGTTTTTGAGCATTTTTGTATTCGACTAACTGTTTAATCGCAGATAGGTTGATAAAACACAATGAAGCTCGTGTAATATTTAGGGTATGGTTCGCATATGATATGAAACTATGAGTTCACCTTGAGTTTCACGGAGGTTTAAACATCGATTTTCGTACAATATCAGAAAAGCTTTTCACCAATTTCGTGTTTTCTCGTCGAACCCATTCAAGCGTCTCAGCATAACATGGACTAACTGCTTGGATATGGTATTTTAGATGGGATTTCATAGATAGTGTGTAGAATTCGAGATGTATCTTTATGAAAGCATTTTAAGGTTTTGTGGAGTAACAGTTGTTCATACGACCCCTTTAGCAGCTGGTGATACTGTGTATTTGTTGGCGCTGCTATAATTTATGGACGAATCAATCAGGTTTACGATAACAGGTCTTGAATTTTAGCGCTAAACCAATTCATTTACTTGGCTAAATAGAGCTTTGGCATTTTATCTGATGTCAGTTTGTGATGAGAACCGTTAATCTGATTCCTAAACCTAATTATCAAATGTAAATCATAGTTCTAATTCCTCACACTGCTTTATAACCATCATTTAGCCGTAGTATGTAGATGGACATTCTCAAAGTCTTCTTAGCGTCGCTCAAATGTCGTCCATAAATTATAGTCTTATTTATTTGTTTTATTGATCATTCTTTACAATTATCCATGGGTCTCTTTGTTCTTGTACCTGCGGAGTTTCTGTCCTATTGATGGAATGCTGATGAATTACAGTAACGGATGTTTATTAGCCCATTGTTCTTGAACTCAGTCTCCAAACATCAACTTTGTGCCTATTCATGTAAATCAACTTGGCTATCAAGCTCTTAAGATTATTATTCTCCAAGCTTTTACATCTGCAAATAACAGCAATGACGATCTACAAGGTCTTGGTGATCAATTGACATGAAGTAAAAGTAATAGGGGACACGGGATAAAACCTAGCTACGATTTACTTTCTACACACTCCCACCCAGCATCCTATTTACTCCCAACCCACTGTTTTCGGTTGCAAAGAATATTTCCGACTCGATAGTTTACTGTGTCTGTTGTTCTGGAGTTGGAAGGTTTCCTGATTGTGACATCTTTCCTAATGACTCGTTGAAATTCGTCAGTACATTGATAGATAAACCCTGTTGAGCTGTTGTCCAGTTTTATCAGTAAGTTAGTGAGTCAGGAATGCTTTTTACGAAATCCGTTTTGCTCCGAAGTCAACAGACTATGACTATCGTTGACTAAACATCTTATCCCTAATCATTCTTTCTAATAATTTGTCCTTTACATTAGTTTGACTGATGAGTATTTAGATATGAGCTATTTCCATCCTTGAAATACGGCAAGCAACAACATTCTTCCACTCTTTTGAGGATCGAGTTTGGGAAAGTGAAGTTTTGATTAAGTCCTTTAGTGGTCCGTGGATATTGGTTGTAAGGAATGGTGGTAATCAAAAGTGTAGTCCTTCAAGTTCCGGTTATTTACCAGGTTTTACGTTATTGAGCCAATGGAATATGATTTAATTCATGATAAGGATTGGCTAGATATTCGGTCTGTCAAAGACATGACCAAATAATGTGTTCATATTAGTATCCAAAATGTTAACCTCAATCATGTATTGGTAAGCCGCTAATTTTGCCGTAAACTGATGTAACCGATTTTTCATCCATCAATGTCGTTGGGATTCCGTTCAGTCCTCTCAGTGTACTAAAACAATCGCTGTGGTTAGGTTTTACTTTCGCGTTAAACAGCTTTCGGATAATGAACTTGACGATACCTAGGCCTAAATGTTTCATGGCCACTTGTAAAGAACGAGTCCAGTAAATATTTCCTCTGTTTTAGTTTCTTTTGAACTAGCTTATCTTTCCATGGAGGACAATATGATATTGTACGTAGAGTTGACTAGGAATGAATGAGTTAGGCTCTTACAAACATGACCGTACACTTATTCCATACTTCTTCAATGGGATGATCTATATAAACTGGTCAGTCCGTTGAGAAAACGTTTTCTGATAAAGGGTCTGTCTATTCACCATATATTTGAACAAAGCAAAACGACATTCGAAATCGTCTGTCCTAAACCGAAAATACAGTACAGTATGATCACTATTTGTCTACATGAGTGAGATTAAATATCTGCAAAATCGTCACTGTAGTGTGTACAAAGAAGGTTGAATAATGACGGTTTATGTTCTAAGTCAAAATGTGTCGCTTTCTTGATTCATTGTGCAATGATTTATTCGAGGTCGATCAACGACAATTTACTATCAAAACGCAGTTGTCAGCTATGTCTGGTTCATGCGTGGCGCGTTAGAATTCCCACCACTAATACAGCTATTAGTCATACCTCATATAAAAACGCGACTCAAAGCGAGATCATTGATCAGGTTGCTAAAGATATGGTACATTACTTCAATAGTCACTTGATTTTAGGACTTACTACTATTCATATAAGAGATTTAACGCGTAAATGTTGTCGAATGTTCAAGACTATGATCCCACCCTTGCGAATAATGATTCTATTAATTTTAACACATTAACTCTGTGGCGTTTGGGATAGGATCCACATCATTCGAGCTATATTTTTGTAATAATAATTACATCCAGTTTCGTTAAACGACTTAAGTCGGACATTTCGCTCCTTTGACTGTATATGTGGTGTGTGCTACTTATATCGACATAAGTAGTATATAACGTTAGTCGTGAACAGAATGTCGTAGCAGAGAGATAATAGGATCGAACAGTAAAGAATGGAAACTCAATGCAAATTGTATGAAAGTGCAAGAACAATAAGGTCTGAGTCATTTTGAGACAATTGATGGACATTTTGCAAATTAAGCATTCACTGTATGATTGTTAGATTTTATTAACAAGTCCTGTAATTTCGTGCCAAATACATCCGATTGTCCCCCACTCGTGTTCTGTTCACTACATATACATCGGCGTAGGATTTAGTCAGGATGTCTGTGTGTTCACCTGAAAACGTTCAATATATTTTGGTTTTCCCTAAAACTATGATGAACAATTTGCTTATGGAAAATATTCCTTTCTATCTGATTAACATTGAATTAACTCGTACTATTATTATTGTTATTATTATTATTATTATTATTATTATTATTACTCTACCACGTCATTTATTCACCCTCTCTTATTCCTACTATATATATGCGTTTCGACCTAGACAGCAGCTCACCTATGGTGAAAATTCAGCTTTATCTATACGTTCCCGAGTCACTGCCTGGTTGAAAATTGTATGTTACTACCGAACATGAGTACTGAAGCAGTTTTTCTGAAACCGCGTGCACCATTCAAACTGGCTACCTTCAACGTTCGCACACTTATGCAGGTCGGACAACAGATAGGACTGGCTATGTCTTTGGAAAGTCTTAATATTGATGTGTGTTGTCTATCCGAGACCCGTATTCAAGACTCTGGTGAAGTACTACAAGTTCGCTCTCCATCTGTCACTTCAAAAAGCTTGTTTTATGTGCGTTTATCCGGGGACCCTGTGGCATCTTCGTCTGGTCTTGCTGGCGTTGGTGTCGCACTAAGCGCAAGAGCTGAGGCAGCACTAGTCGACTGGATCCCCATTAACAGTCGGTTATGTGCTGTTAGATTAGAAAGTACCATCAAAGTGAGAAGAAATCGGCGTGAGAAACGATGTCTTTTCGTCATCTCCGCCTATGCCCCGACAGATTGCAGCCCGGATGCAATCAAGGACGAGTTCTACCATCAGCTAACTGTTCTTCTCCAGAAAGTGCGTTCGACAGATATTGTAGTACTAGCTGGAGACTTGAATGCTCAGGTCGGGCGTCTAGACACGGAAGAGAGTCGTTTAGGTGGCCGATGGGGACTTGTTGGTCGCAGGACAGATAACGAAGACTGTCTACTGCAGTTGTGCACAGACCACAACTTGTTTCTGGCTAGCACTAACTTTCGGCACAGTCATCGCCGATGTGCCACCTGGGTCCTCCCTCTGCATCTCAATCCTGGACTCAGGCTGATCACATCGCGATCAGCTACCGCTGGCGCGGTTGTGTACAAGACTGCCGCTCCTTTTGGAGTACCTATCAGGAATCAGATCATGCTCTGGTCTGCGCCAATCTTACCTTACTTTTCAGTGGACAACGAAGTGACCGCCACCAAAGGATTGATGTTAGCAAGCTGGCTGCAACTTCTGTTGCTAGTAAGTACCGAACCGAGCTAGCTTCTAGGCTAGCTACCATTCCACCGAAAAGTATAGATGAGCATTGGTTGCAATTGCATGACGCCATGAAAATGGCGGGTAAAGTCTGTTGTGGGTTTGCGAAACGTCCCGCTTACAAGCACTGGGTTTCTTCTGGTTCCTTACAACTGATTGAAGCCCGTCGGTCTACTCCGGGTGACCGTGAGTTTGACCACAGACGAAGGATGTTACGTAATGAAATCGGGCAAAGCTTGCGTAAGGACCGAGAAGCCTGGTGGTCGGAGCGTGCCAGTGAGTTGGAAGCAGCAGCTGCATCTGGTAATTACCGGAAGCTCTTCCAACTCATCCGAGCCACTGGCAGCAAGAAGTTTGGTGTGAGCGAAACAATCTGCGAGGATGACGGAACGCCAATCACTAACATCCATCGACATCTTGGACGATGGGCAGAATTCTTTGAAGGGCAGTTCAACTGGCCTGCTGCTCCGGCAACATCGGTCAGACTGTCTTACCCTCCATGGCCGGTGACGACTGATCCACCAAATGAGGCAGAAGTCCGCAAGGAACTCCAACTCTTGAAACGTTACAAATCGCCGGGCCCAGACGACTTACCTCCTGCTCTTTTTAAAGATGGTGGTGACTTTTTGACTAAGGGACTGACGACGTTGTTTACAAAGATCTGGGAACTAGAGAGTGTACCAACGTCATGGAATGAGTCGATAGTTGTCCCTATCTTTAAAAAGGGTTCACGTTGTTCCTGTAACAACTATCGGGGGATAAGTCTACTTCCGATTGCGTCCAAGCTATTGGCTTCCGTCATACTTCGTAGGTTGTTCAGGACCCGAGAAAGATTGACTCGCGAGTAGCAGGCTGGGTTTCGTTCTGGTCGAGGATGTATTGATCATATCTTCACCCTCCGCCAAGTGTTAGAACACCGCCATACTTATCAAAGGCCAACAATCGTAGTGTTTCTTGATATCAGGGCTGCCTTCGATTCGTTGGATAGGTCTGTTCTCTGGGATTGTCTATTGAAGAAGGGTGTGCCTGAGAAGTTTATTAACATCCTAAAAGCCCTATACACAAACACCTCAGGCAGAGTGAGGGCATACAACCACCTTTCTCCGTTATTCCATTCGAGCAGTGGGGTTAGGCAGGGTTGCCCAATCTCACCATTCCTCTTCAACTTTGCCATCGATGACATTCTGGAAACAGCTCTGATGGATGCAAGTAATGGTGGTGTGGATCTGTTGCCTGGAGAAAGACTTCTCGACCTTGAGTATGCGGATGATATTGTCTTACTGTGCGAGAATGCCCAAGCTATGCAATCCGCACTTAATCAGTTGGCAATCAATGTCCGTAGGTATGGTATGTGCTTTGCACCTTCGAAGTGCAAAGTACTTCTACAAGACTCGCAGGATTCTAATCCTGTACTCACTCTGGATGGTGAGCAGACAGAAGTAGTCGAGAAGTTCGTGTATCTAGGTAGCTGCATAAGTGCTGGTGGTGGTGTGAGTGATGAGATCAATGCTCGTATAGTGAAAGCCAGAGCGGCTTATGCCAATCTGGGCCACCTTTGGCGCCTTCGTGATGTTAGTCTGGCTGTAAAAGGTCGGATCTACAACGCGACGGTGAGAGCAGTTTTGCTCTATGCTTGTGAAACCTGGCCTCTCCGAGTTGAGGATGTTAGACGACTCTCTGTGTTTGATCATCGTTGTCTCCGAAGGATTGCTGACATCCAGTGGCAACACCATGTCAGTAATGCAGAGGTTCGGCATCGAGTGTTCGGTCACAGAAACGATAATGAAATTGGTGTCACCATCTTGAAACACCGACTTCGGTGGCTTGGACATGTTCTACGAATGTCGTCCCAGAGAATTCCACGTCGTGCATTATTTGCCGACTCTGGGACTGGTTGGAAAAAGCGGAGAGGTGGTCAGTATATGACATGGTGTCGTGGTATGAAAGAAAGCTGCAAAGGGCTAGCTTCTGTTGGTCCTTCACGACTCCCTGGTTGGGGTCCGAGAGACGGTGTAACGCAGTGGCTAGAGACGTTATCAGATATGGCTAAGAATAGAAGCCAGTGGCGATCGTGCTGTAACCTCTTACTTTCTTCATAAAAAGTGTTTATATCTTCCTTAACTGAAAGATCTCTTCTGATTGTACCTTTCCGTTTCCCCCACCATTGTTCTCTCTCTCTCCCTTTTTTTTTTATAATTCCCCACGTTCATTACCTTTTTTTTTCTCTTTCCTCCTTCTCTTCAAATTATCATTGTTTTGTGTGGCGCATATATATTTGGTGCCCCTCTGTACCAATATTTATGTGTTCAAATAAATAATAAATAATAAATTTCCCCCTAATCATTTAGTTGGGTTTTTAACCCGATAAATTCGTTTTTCCCTGTTGATAAGGGTAAATTCTCAAACACAGTGTGCATCAAAGAAATCAGCCGTTATACCCCATATTGATTTAAGGCAGTTCTCGTTTATTTGTCATTCAGTGTGTCGAAATTAATTCAGTTTGACAAACTAAATAAATCGTGTTTACTTACTGAGTTGTTGAGTCACTTGTTTATTTTCTTCTAGGTCTCCATACGAGTTTTTACACTTGCCGACACAACGTAAATCTATTCTAGACCCCAATTTTTCAACTTCTGAATGTTATTACTGAAGTAGTTCTGAACAACTTCTTTGGTGTTTGTATCCTGCTTGTTATCATTTTTTTCATTTCAGACTGCATCTCTGACCATAAGATCACATACTTAATTTGCTGAACAAATACCTATGAACTACACCTTTTTTTCTTGTGCCACTGTTCATCATTGAGGTTAGAGTACCCTCAGACTACAAGTGCCACATCACTGATGGCGTCAATACACTGAGAAAAATAAGGCATATTTTATTTGCTCTAGACAGCAATATAGGGCTAGAGTACTTCATATTTATGTGAGAAAAGGCTATACATATCCTATAATAGTTACTACTATTACTATTTCTTTAATAAATAGAGAAGTTTAACAAATTTCTTAATGAGTAATCCGAATACGTTAAATTTTGATCGTAAAATGTCAGCTTCGGAAGCATGCAAAAAGTCTCTTGTTACCCTGGAGTCATACCTTAGAGACGAACATACTAATTCAGAAACTTTGAAATTTTCTGCTAACAGCGTACTTACAGTTGACGGAAAGGTGAGTAATATTATCTCAATACATCTAAATTCACTCAAACTTTAGAAACCAAGTCCACTGGAGGAAGTCGAAATTTTGGATACCATAGCTACGTACATAATGCTGAAAAACGAAGAGGATGTGAAGTACCGCTTGTTCTTCGAGGTCTTTCCTGCTGATAAGGATATTAGCACTGATTGTTTGTACTTCTTAATAAAATTATCGTCGTTAGCTATTTGCCTTGGGCTATCCCCAGTACTCGAAATTATTTCTTTGTGGCTAAAGGTTAGCGAAATTGCAATTTTTGAATGTTGTAATAATATATTTTTATGGATTTATTCACAAACTTTGTCACTCTTTAGCAGCTCGAATACACAAATTAGTATTGTTATATAACATACTGATGTTGTTTGATAGAGTTAATGTTCAGAAACAATGTTTGTGTAGCTGCTTTATCTTAGTAGGATCTTGTATTGCATTTCGACAATATAACTTTCAGAGGCATTTTCCACTGCGTAACTTCTCACCAAAATTTTTTCGTCGAATCTAAAATTTTTAAATAAATCAAAAGTGACGTGCTAATGTAGTACTTAGACCTATTAACTACTTTCCATTTCACGAAAGTTGGTCCAGTCAGGGCATCTAAGTGATAATAATCATCAAGGTAGTACCACTTCACTCAGCTGTAGAATCGGTATATTCCTAAAAGTAACCACTCCGTCTGATTTCGTAGAGATTGATTTTCCACACACAACCTGAAGTATCCTGATACCATAGTTCTCTTTGGTGGTAAGAATAAAGCGAAGGGTGTTATTTTCATTCGATATGCTCGCCTTATAACGATAAACCGCGTTTTCCCAAACTAGACATTTCTGCTTTGTTCCAGTAAGTCCTTTCCACGCTGTAAAACAAATTCGTTTTTAAACGTTATCTGATGCGGCTTTTTCAGATTTATACACCTTTACTAATTGTCATTATTACTGTATCAGTCAGTCTATGAAGTCACTGACAATTGAACTGACATCCTAATGTATGAAATCTTTTTTCCACTACCATTAAAATAACTACTTCTACGAGCTTGGTGTTTATCTTGTTGTGCTGATGAGGTATGGCAACTTGGACCGATGTATATATGTGTCTGGTCCTAATTTTTAGCTGACTTACTGACTTTTCTTAACAGGTACATACTACCTGGTTGGATCTGTATGATTATTGTAAAAAGTGGTTAAAGACTTTGAATGACAGGACTCAAAATCGTTTGCAATGATGCACGTCCATCCAATCTTTGTCTTCCCCTAACTACTGAAATTCTAACCTGATCAGCCTTTTTGTTTTTATTTCGCTAATTTTTATTTTTTCGAGTTGTATCTTCGATGCCTGAACTTTCCCATTACCATTGATGCTATTACTACCTCTTCCATTCTGATATTTAACCTGACATCTGTCTGTGCTAACGGGGTATGGCAACTTGAACCAATGTACATGCATACAAGTTGTACGTTTTGAAGTAAGCTACAATCGTCCGGTATCGCACTGCAACCGTTACGTTTAGTCAGTATCTTCCTTTAGCTTTTCGAGTTTGTCTTCATATTTAGGAATGATTTATCTATTATGGCTGTAATATTAAACTTTTGTTTATTTATTATTTACTAATTTGAACACATAAATATTGGTACAAGGGGGCACCAGATACATATGCACCACATAACAATAATGAGAATGGGAATAGATAATCAATGTAAGGTGCGTGTAAAAAGAGAAAAAAGGAACAATAACGGCCACAAATTAGTGTATGATAGTGCAATAATAATAATGGGGAAAACAAAAAGGTACGATCAAAAAAGAATTCTTTCAGTTAAAGAAGTTACATTCATTTTTTCTGAAGAAAGTAAAGGAAGGTTACAGCAGGATCGCCACTGACTTCTGTCCTGAGCCATGCCTGATAACGTCTCAAACCATAGTGTTGCTTCATCTCTAGGACTCGAACCAGGGAGTCGTGAAGGACCAACACAAGCCAGCCCTTTGCATCTTTCTTTCATACCACGACACCATGTCATACACTGACCACCTCTCCGCTTTTTTCAACCAGTCTCACAGTCAGTCAGTCAGAAACAACGTGGAACTTCGTACGTACGTACATCAGCTCGAGTTGCCATACCACATTAGCACAGAGATTCAGTTATCGTCTCAAATCCCGTAGTGACAGAGTAGTGAAAGTATAAGTAGTGATTGGGAACACTAGGGTTTGATGTTATTTAAGGAGTATAGTCCAGTGGAATAGATTCAGAAAGAAAATAAAGGACATGGCGAATTCAGAAGATTAGAGTTTGGGAGAACACAGAGAGTGGATGCACCTGCGCCATTGCAAACGATTTTTAGCCATGTCATTCAAGATCTCTAACCATCGGTTGCTATCGTCTCGCGGACCCCAACCAGGTAGTCTACACCTACCAACATGGCTCAGTCCACTTGTCAGTGACTTCTTGGATTTGTGCCATGTTTTGGTCTGGCCGCCCCTAGCTTTCTTCCAACCCACTCCTACACCATAAAACATCGCACGTCGGGGCAGTCGTTGGTCTGGCATGCGTAACACATGTCCCAGCCATCTCAACTGATGAAGTTTCACTACTTCGTCAATTGATTTGCCATCCTTACCTAGTACCCGTTTCCTAACAACTGAGTTACTTACTCGGTGGTCCCAGGATATACGAGCAATGCTTTGAAGACACCTATGATCAAATACTAGTAACCTACGAATATCCTCTACTCTTACTGGCCATGTTTCACTACTATAAAGTAAGACGGAACGAACTGCTGCGCAGTAAACTCGTCCTTTGGTTACTAGACGGATATCTCGCCTACGCCACAAATGACGCAAGTTGGCAAAAGCTAGTCGAGCCTTTTGTATCCGTGCTGAGATTTCGTCACACACCAGACCACAAGGGTTGATGAGACTTCCAGGATAAGTGAGGAGGTCGACACGCTCAACTACTTCACTCCCTATCACTAGTTCGGGTGTCGATGCAACCCAATCCTGAAGTAACATTTTGCATTTCGAGGGAGAGAATCGCATCCCGAACATGCCTGCATTGTTGCTTAGAGTGGTGAGCAGACTGTGCATTTTGTCAGCGTCTTCACTAAATAGAACTATGTCATCGGCATACTCTAAGTCAATAAGTGAATTTCCCGGTAGAAGTTCAAGCCCTGGAAAGTCAGATGTGGAAAGAGTTATCTCTAAAAGCACGTCAATGACAAGGTTAAACAAGAATGGAGAGAGTGGACAACCCTGACGAACACCACTTGAGGTAATCAGTTCTGATGACAGTTCGCCATAAGCTCTCACTCAACCAGTTGTGTTCGAGTAGAGAGCCTTTATAAGGTTAATGTACTTCTTTGGTACTCCTTTCAGAGACGAACACTGCCATAGAACCTCACGATCAACAGAGTCGAATGCCGCCGTAAGGTCGAGAAATACTACGATTGTGGGGCGTCTGAATGTGTGTCTATGTTCTAGGACCTGACGTAGTGTGAATATCTGATCTATACAACCACGTCCAGGTCGAAAACCAACCTGGTTTTCTCTAGTCTGCTCTTCACGAGCTTTAGTTAGGCGTCGAAGTATTATTGAAGCTAATATTTTATACACTATATTAGTCAGACTAATTCCTCTGTTATTGTCACAAGAGGACTTTTGTCGTTTCTTATAGACTGGCACAATCAGTGATTGAGACCAGTCAGATGGGATTACGTCCAGTTCCCAGATTCTACGCAAGACCTCAGTCAATCTCGCTGCTAATACTGGACCGCCATCCTTAAAAATTTCAGGGGTAAACCTGTCAGGGCCTGCTGCTCTCCCACGCTTTAGATTACCTTTAGCTTTTTCAACTTCGTCAAGAGTCGGAGGATTTACATTAACTTGCCATTCAGGTAGATTGCAGATCGTGGGAAACCGAAGTGTGGCTGAAGGCCAGTTGAACTGATCCCTAAAGTGTTCTACCCATCGATCCAATCTCCTGGATTGAGAATGAATAATATGTCCATCTTTCTCTGAGATTGTTTCGCTAACAGTTGGATTCCTAATACCGGTTTCCTTAACAATCATTGAGTAGGCTTCTAGTCAGCTTACGCTTAAGCTGACTGCTCTTTGTTATGTTCAGAGCCAGATGAGAGGAGTTTCCGAGCATCTATCAGTGCGGTAGATGCTGCTGAGATCCAGTGTTACTCCCTAACCTTATGGTTTGCCGTACTTGCAGACATCACTGCTGTTTCTACAGCTTTTCGGATGTCATTCCACGCTGCCTCGGGGTTGGCATCACTTACATGGCTGCCTAAATGTTTTTCTAGTTGTTCCTGGAATATACTCTTAGCTTGACTATCATTAAGTAGGACCCTAAGGGGTTTCTTTGCACCATCTTTCCTACGTCCAGTAAGACGTAGACAAATACGCGCTCGCACTAGAGCATGATCCGAGTCTAAGCATGTGCTCCAGAATGAGCGACAGTCTTCTATCGAGCCCCTCCATCGGTGGCTGATAGCGATGTGATCTATTTGGGTCCAACGTTGGGACGAATTAGGGGGTCTCCATGTTAAAAGATGTTTTTCCTTATGCTTAAAGTTAGTGTTTGCAAGAAACGCCTAGCTTTTCGCAGAAGGTCGTAAAGCTTTCTGTAAAACTCATCTTTTGCATTATCTGAGCTGCAGTCAGTGGGAGAGTAGGCAGAGACGACGAAGAGGCAACGACGAGTGTCCGTATCTTTCCGAGTCCTTACTGTTCCATTTAGTCGGACAGCGCACAAACGACTGTCTATCGGGATCCAGTCTAAGAGAGCTAGTTCTGCCCTAGGACTCAATGCTATACCTACTTCAGCGAGGCCACGGGAAGCAGCATCACGACTTCCAGATACACGAAGCCTAAACCGGGTTGGTTCGTTACTTTGATATGATGAGGTCAAATGAATGACACTATTCGGATCCTGCATGCGCGTTTCGGAGACGCAGCACACATCGATGGAGCGAGATTCTAAAGTCCTAGCTAAGGAGGCCTGGTGTCCTATTTGGCACAGTGTTCGGACGTTGTAAGCTCTTACGTGTAGTTTAGAGCGTGGTTTCAGGAGACCATGAATAACGTTCCACGTACTCGAATCGTTTGCACTATTGGGGCGAGGTGGTAAAGGGACGTAAGAAGGGTTAGTCGTGGAGATAAGAGAGTTATTAGGAGGTGTAGGAAGGATTTGAATGTGACCAACGTGGTCTCGTATACTGTTAAGGGTATGAGGGCTGATGTCACTTCCCGGCTGCCCACACCGTGGAATGGTATTTCTTGAGGAACCTGAAAAGAAAATCGGATTAGCGTTGGTCTTAACGACCTGGGTGCGTGACCTCAGAGCCCAAGGGACAACTGCTTGAGGCCGGTCGCTCATGGCCTTTTTGTGGGAGGTTTTTAATGTGTTAGCTCCGTTCTTCAAACGGCCTTACCGCCGGAGACGGAAATCCGTGGGGTAAGGTGAGGTGTGACATTTTTAAGGTCGACCTTTTCTAACCCCTTCCTTCCTTGTGAGAAGGCAGCATCGCTGTAGATGCTGGTTGTCCGAGGGAAACACCTTACTGTTGTCACACCTCTGTACAGCCAGCAGTACGACTTCGCCCTCAGACCTTGAGTTGCTGCTTCTAGTCTTACCGTTCTCCAGTCGACCTGCCTGGCATGGTAGAACCTGCAGGAACATGTGTTCCAGCCAATATAGCTCGGTTGGGTCATCACGATAGGCAAGCCCGACCACCACGTCAAGGTAGCAGCTACGGTCAGGCAACCAGTCTCACAGTCGGTAAATAATGCATTACGTGGAATTCTCTGGGACGACATTCGTAGAACATGTCCAAGCCACCGAAGTCGATGTTTCAAGATAGTGACACCAATTGGATTGTCGTCTCTGTGCCCGAACACACGATGCCGAACCTCTGCAACACTAGCATGGTGTTGCCATTGGATGTCAGCAACCCTTCGGAGACAACGATGATCAAACACAGGGAGTCGTCTAACATCCTCAACTCGGAGAGGCCAGGTTTCACAAGCATAGAGCAAAACTGCTCTCACCGACGCGTTGTAGATCCGACCTTTTACAGCCAGACTGACATCACGAAGACGCCAAAGATGGCCCAGATTGGCATAAGCCACTCTGGCTTTCACTATACGTGCGTTGATCTCATCACTCACGCCACCACCAGCACTTGTGCAGCTACCCAGATACAAGAACTTCTCGACTACTTCTGTCTGCTCACCATCCAGAGTGAATACAGGATTAGAATCCTGCGAGTCTTGTAGAAGTACTTTGCACTTCGAAGGTGCAAAGCACATACCATACCTACAGACACTGATTGCCAACTGGTTAAGTGAGAATTGCATGACTTGGGTATCGTCGCATAGTAAGACAATATCATCTTTATACTCAAGGTCGAGAAGTCTTTCTTCAGGCAACAGATCCACACCACCATTACTTGCATCCATCAGAGCTGTTTCCAGAATGTCATCGATAGCAAAGTTGAAGAGAAATGATGAGATTGGGCAACCGTGTATAACCCCACTACTTGAATGGAACAATGGAGAGAGGTGGATGTACGCCCTCCCTCTGCCTGAAGTGCTTGTATATAGGGCTTTCAAGATGTTAATAAACTTTTCAGGCAACCCTAATTTCAAGATACACTAAGATTGTTGGCCTGTGATAAGTATGACGGTGTTCTAACATTTGATGGCGGGTGAAGATATGGTCAATACATCTTCTGACCATCAGGCTTCTCGGTCCTTACGTAAGCTTTGCCCAATTACGTTAAATAAGAGTCTTCGTTTGTGGTCAAACTCACGGTCACCCGGAGTACATCGACGGGCTACAATGAGTTGTAAGTAGCCTGTAGAAACCTAGTGATTACAAGCGGGACGTTTCGCGAAACCGCAGGCGACTTGACTCTCCACTTTCATGCAAATGCAGTCAATGCTCATTTATACTTTTCTGTAGGATGGTATCTAGCCTTGAACCCAGCTCGGTTTGATATTTAGTTGCAACAGAAGCTGCAACCAATTTACTGACATCGATCTTTTTAGGACGATGAGTTTGTTGACAAATCAAACGTAAGGTAAGATTAGTGCAAACAAGGGCATGATCAGAGTCCAGATAGGTACTCCAAAAGGAGCGGCAGTCTTGTACACAACCACGCCAGCGGTAGCTGATCGCGATGTGATCAATCTGAGTCCAGACTTCAGACGTAGAGGGAGGATGCCAGGTGGCACATCGGCGATGACTATGCTGGAAGTTAGTGCTAGCCAGAAACAGGTTTTGGTCTGCGTACAGTTGCAGTAGACGGTCCCTATTATCTGTCCTGAGACCAACTTTTCCGTTTATAGGAATTGATTTTGCTGCGTATGGTTTGTGTATACCTAAAAAGTCAAGTTAGTAGCTTGAATGAATTTTTTAAATCACTTAATCTGTTATACAAGACTTAAAATCTGTTCAATAGTTCGTCTTTGTTTTTTTTTCCAATTTGACCAACATTTCTACTACTCAAAAATGAGTAATAATACATTTTTTGAATTATAAGGTCCGAGTTTGCCAACTTTATGCTTTCTCAGCACTACAGTCAGCTAATTATTTACCTTGCATTTCGTATGAAATTATTGAGGAGTTCGTCATAGCACTTACATCTGATATGCTCAGTATACAGGGGCCTCCATTAACTTCGAATCCAACGTTGTCGAAAAACGATATGATCCAGAGTGGAGATCCAAACAAAGACAACCCTTTATACACTCTCCCATCAGTGTCACCTGCATTTGCAGACGCATTTTTGTCTGGAGTTACTTTGGTTTATGGGTTCTATCCTTCCCTAAGTAAGTAAGCTTTCTAGGTTAGGTTTACTGTTTTCTCTTTATAATGTTAATAAACTTAGTTTCTTGAAGTATACTGCCTAAATAAGAGTAATTCTCTATATAATACTTTTATTTTTCATAACGTTCGTTTCCTCATGTTGTTAATTTGCGATGACTTATTTAGCTTTGTCACTGATACGTCCAAGCTAGAATTGTTGTGCAACATACCTCCTAGTGGCTATTGTTCATGATAATACAAAGATGGATGCTTAGGATTATTTTCAACGTAATTAATCAAGTGTAATATAATTTTTCATGTGCTTAGTTAGAATTTACCATAAACGCATAAAAAGGAACACGTTAAAATATGGTTGAAATAAAAATCAGGAAAAGGAGTCATTATTTTTCTAAATGTGCTAAATGGCTTTATCGCACTTTTTTAACTATCAGAGAGTGTTGTGGTAGTTCATTGAAGCTAAATATCGGTGAAATTTTAATATAATTTGCTAATTGTCATGAAATATAGTAAAGTTCTTTTAAACACCCTTAGGAACAAAGATTTTCTCAAACATAACTCTTGATGTATTAGCCAAATATACATCATTAGGTTCTGGAATTTAAAACGAAGACCGAAAGTGATAATACTCTTTGATCTAAGTTCAACATTTGACTTCGTCAGTCAGGACATCATCCAGCAGTTTCTGTCTCTGAATACTACTAGAAATGTGCATAAGTGTTATATGTTGTGACCGCCGATTAGAGGGCAGTGAATTATCGATCGGACCAAGGACGCGTAGAACACGTTCGAGCAGCCTAGAGCTCTGATTGGCCCTGCTTCCTGCCTAGCCCAGCCAGTCAAGTCCAGAACGCCAATCTCAGCCTCTGCAATATGAATCATTATATTTCAAACATACTGAGTTTATATACCAATCAAACAGATCACAACTAAGCATAAAACAGAAAATACAAAATTTGACCAAATGTGGCTGTGAATGTGGGGGGCAGTGACTAATAAACAGGGCATAATTCAAGAATGGTAAAACGTATGATAATGGTTCATAGGTCAAAATAAAGCTTATAATACGAGGAACATGAATATGAATAGTTTAGTTATTTAACAATTATACGATAAAAATATACGTTAGTATTGTTCCACAAATGGATCCCAAAATTACCATTCATTATTCTTTTCGGGACATAACAATAAGATTACTGGGGGCTACTATTTGTATATCAGTGCTCGAGTTCTACTTACTTATTCCTCCTACCCCTCATGGAGGAACATAGGCCTCTCACCAGCATTCTCCATCGAGCTCTGTCCTGGGCAATCCTTTCCAGTTGTTATTTACTCCTCTAATGTCTGCTTCCAATTCTCGACGTAGAGTGTACTTTTTAAAGGGGACTGATAAATATGTAAAGAAATTGTTAAACCCGGACAATGTTGTGATTCAAAATAATGTAATTCTAATTCAACACCAGCGAAATTAAAAATATTTGAATCCATACTTTATAACAGTAGCTATTAGCAACCCACGAACAATGTCTCAGTGAATAGCTTTCAGTTACTAGTTGTCAGTGAAATTGTTCACTTCAAACAAGTTCAACGATTGTGAAACACGATCAAGTAAAAACCACGTCCCCAATTATTCAAAGCAAAGTATGAAAACACCAATTTGAACTAAAGGCTTTCTTTTGACAACGAACACAAACAACACATGAGCCAGTGGATTTTACAAGCAGATTAAGAAGCCTTACCTACTTACGCCTGTTACCTCTCGTGGAGAAGCATAGACAGCCCAATAGCACACTCTGTTCAATCCAGTCCTGACTAATCCTTTCCAGTTGCTATTCACTCCTCTAATTTCTGCTTTCGATTCTCGACGTAGTGTGTACTTCGGCCTTACACTTTTCCGTTTTACTTCAGGATTCCAAGTTAGGGCTTGTCTCGCGATGCAGTTCGATGACCCACTTAATGTATGTCCTATCCACCCACAACATCTTTTCCTGATTTCCCCTCAGTTAGAAGTCGGTTTGTTTTCTCCCACAGTAGGCTGTCGCTGATGACGTCCGGCCAACGAACATTCAGTAACTTGCGTATATAATTGTTTATAGATACTTGTACCTTTTTGATGATGGTTGTGGTAGTTCTCCACGATTCAGCTCCGTATAGTAGAGCTGTCTTGACATTCGTGCTGAAGATTCTGACTTTGATATTGGTTGACAGTCTGTTTCAGTTCTAAGTGTTCTTCAATTGTAGGAATGCGGCTCTTGCTTTGCCAATCCTCTCCTTCACGTCTGCATTCGATCCTCCTTGTTCATCAATGATGCTTCTCAGGTACGTGGAAGTTCTCACCTCTTCCAGAGTTTCTCCATCAAGTGTGATTGGTTTGTTGTACTTCGTGTCGTATTTCAGGATCATGCTTTTTCCCTTATGTATGTTGAGGCCTAGTCATTCAGAGGCTGCTGCTACACTAGTTGTCTTCATCTGCATTTGTTCGTGTGTATGGGATAAAAGAGCTAGGTCATCTGCGACGTTCAAATCGTCCAGTTGCATCAAAGCTATCCATTTTATTCCGCGCATCCCCTCAGATATCAAGTTCTTCATAATCCAGTCAACCACCAGAAGAAAAAGAAAGATGAAGAGAGAGCAGCCTTGTCTGACTCCGGTCCTCACCGTCCTCCATGCACCACTTTGCACTGTAGTCAATCGTATGAATTCTGGATGATATTGTCGATCTTTTCGAGTACACCATAGTGTCGAAGAAGGTTCCATAATGTTCTCCTATCCATGCTATCAAATGATTTCTCATGGTCAAGGAAGTTGGTGTACGGTGGCGAGTTCCATTCATTTGATTGTTTAACGATAATCCGTAGTTACTGCTTCGATGTCTGGTGGATTCAGTTTGGCTGATCTATTCGAGAGTTCTTCAAAGTGCTCTACCCATATGCTCCTTTGTTCTTGAATCTCAATGATTGGAATGCCTTTGTCCTTGACTAGTCTCTCTGGTTTACTATATTTCCCTGCTACTTTCTTCGTTGCATCATATAGCTGTCTTATATTTCCCTCTCTTGCAGCTTTTTCCACTGTCGCTGCTAGGTCTTTCACGTATTTCCGCTTGTCGACCCTGATGCTCCTCTTCACTTCCTTGTTTGCTTCTGTGTATTCAGTTTGTGCCTTGACTTTCTCTGTTCTTGTTCGGCTGTTATTAATTGCTGTCTTCTTCTTCCTTCTTTCTTGAATCTAGCTCAGGGTTTCGGTAGAGATCCATTCCTTATGATGATGCTTCTTGCGGCTCAGAACCTCCCGACACAATGAAGTTAGTGCTTCTTTGATCCCTTTTCAGCTGTCCCCCATAGTAGTTGCTCCTTTTTTCAGCAGATCTTGAAGGGCTTGGAACCTGTTGTTGAGAGTTATCTTGAATTCGTTGAGTTTGTCAGTATCTTGAAGGAAGGCTGTATTGAACCTTTGTGATGCTGTTTCTCCAGTCGTCTATTGCTTCTTTAGCTTCAGTTCCATCTTGGCAACTACCAGGTGGTGATCTGAAGTTATCCCAGTTCCTCTCCTGGTTCTCACATCTTCCATTGACCTTCTGAATTTTTTTACTGATGCAAATATGATCGATCTGGTTCTGTGTAGTATGATCCGGTGAGAACCATGTAGCTTTGTGTATGCGTTTGTGGGCGAAGATTGTACCTCTTATAACCATTTTGTTAAATGCGCACATGTCGTCCCATGATATCTTCATATTCGATGTTGTCCATTCCGATTTTGGCTTTTAAGTCTATCATTAGGATTGTCAGATCCTTTTCTGGGCACTTCTCTACGATCGACTGCAGTATCTCATAAATCTGATCTTTATCGTCGTCGTTGCTATCATTGGTGGGTGCATAGCATCATGTAACACTCCTAGTAATCGCCTCCTTTGTTCTGAAGAATGTGCTGATGATTCTGGATCCATGAGATTTCCATCCAACAAGTGTTTTTCGCGATTCTTTGGACAGCATTAGAGCAACTCCTTGTGTGTGCGAAGCATTTTCTTCTTCATGACCAGAGTACAACAGCACCTCTACAGAGGCTAATCTTTTCTGTTCAGCTTGTTTACAATGGGTTTCACTTATTATGAGCAACTGTAAGTTGTGTCTCCTCATTTAAACAGCTGTTTGACTGTCCTCCCGTTTTATCACATTGTCTGAACATTTCATGTACCTATATTAATTGCTGCTCTGGTTGTTAGAAAGGATATTAGCTTAGTGACTTCCGAAGAATATCGGCTTTCACCATGAGGCGTCATAATAATTCTAAGCGAGGATCATTCAACTACTAGAGTAGGGTTTAAGTAGCTTAGATTGGCTTTTCTGGGTAATGGTTTTTAAAAAGTTTGTTTTCTACAGGATGGGGTTACTAATTCCATGCTCAACCCTCCTCTTTTGTTCGGGCTTGGTACCGGCAGTATGTCTTGGAGTGCTATAGTCTGTGCCATGTTGTCGAATACACACTTACGAATCAGGATATTTTTTGAAAGTTATTAAAGAATACACGTCAGTTTACAGGATTGTTCAAGTTGATACAAATTGCCAGTTAATAAATTTAAATTTATCTGGAACCATATGATATACAGGTAATTTTTAAGTGACCACTTTAGACAAAATTAATGAAAATATTTAAAGCCATGAATGTAGTGGATGGTAAATATTTCTAAGGACAACGGTCTTACAGTAAAACATTATCAGTTGTTTGCAGTCCAAAGTAAAATTAGATTCAAGAAGCATAAACTTCTCATTGATATGTAAAGTGATAGCATATACAAAAGTACCAGTCGTGTGACATAAATGAATAATAAATTTATTTTGCTATGGAAATTAAAACATATTTGCCTTCAAAGGTACGTGAAAAAGTTTGAACACTATCACCCAAAATGTTTTGCTTTAGAATCATCCGTTTGCAATTTTCCTGTAATGCACGAAGCAACCAAAATTCCTCCTCCGCAGATTATTTCATGTATCTCCCACTGGTTAAGACTTTCGAGGATTTCGAAGCAGCATCAACCTGGAACTAATCCACTCAGCAGCTGGACCAATATTGATTGGCCAAGTGCAGCTAGACGTTATAAGTTTCTTAACCATCCCCGCTTTTCTGTTGATCAGATTTTGATGTCTCAACCACCTCCCCCACTTTGCCTAATGTGGTGGACAATTTTTGAACCACTGAGACATATAATGCGGTAATTTACTATTATATTTATTTATTTTTATTTCCATGCCTTCTTGGTGTTACATTTTGTCGTATACTGCAACTTTTTTAAAAATCAAAATTGTGCTCTTTTTGTTTCCCATGAAAGATGCTTAATCTTATCCTCTGAAATCTTGCAACTAACAACTGCATAAACTATAACTCACTTCCTGTGTATGGGGTATGAAATCCGCTCTAAGTGTTAGTACTAGTGATGTTGTCCGATCGTTCAAACCGAAAAAGGTGTTCAAATCTAGGGCTTAATGGCTGAAAGCTGGACCCCTCAACCAAAAACTAGTTTACCGCTTCCCAACTAATAACCATTGAATCTTTAAAAAAGATACCAAACCAATTATTTCATTCTGAATCAGCTATCGCTTCAGATGGTTCATTTGAATAACAGGTAAATAAAAGCTCTCAACAAATTTCACTTCGATTGCATCGTAATTATTTAGTAGTACATACTAGCGAATGAATTCATTCACTGAGATTTTACAAATACATTCTTTCTCTTTAATGTCCTACTTTTTATGTTGTTATTTTACGTCATAATGCAATGTTCATCTTCGAAGTTGTTAAGTATGTTGAATGTACGTTTCCAGACCATACTTCTACCTCGGATTCCCAACTTTAGCTGCTACCTTAACGTAGTGGTTGGACACATCTATCGTAACAACCAGATTAAGCCTTGCTGGTTAGAACACTTGTTCCTGTAGGTCTCTAGGGGTTAAATCAACACGCACTATCAGTTCGTGAAATAACTGGTTGTTGAATATGGCCGTGTTAATAGATGCAGATTACATGAATGAATTTTGCAAAATTACCTTTTGACCAGTAACTAATGACTCTGTAACAAACATGAGCACGCGTTCTTACTAGACCCAGAAAAGCAACAACAAAAAACCCCACTCAGATTTCGACTTACTGATGTAAAAGACAGTTATATTTTACAGGAACAAGCAGAAAAGTAGAAAGTCAATTACGGGGATGATGCTTGGGGTGATATTTAAACTGTTATGAGGAGAGCAGGGATATCTGCGAGTAACTGCAACTAATAAATTAGGAAAAACCAGTAGATTTTAGCATCGTCTACTGATATGATAGATGTTCGGAAACTTATCCCATTAGTCTGGGAACACGATCACGAGCAAAGGAAACTTAAATGTAGACTGTCTAAAATTCCACGCTATGTGGACAGCGAAAGCAAACACGATGAAAGAACTGATGGCAGTGAACGAAATTCCAGACTTATCTTAACATTCATCGTCTAACCTGTCAGAACTCAATTTATTAGGAAATTCTCTTGTTGAATTAAAATGCACAGATAACATATTTCTGTTTGGTGAGGACGCTAAGAAAACGGAGTTTCCTAACCTCCTTTACCAACAATTCAAACACGTTTGGGATGCACTTCTCTTCCGCTAAGGGCGAAATTGTTTCAAGACTGATCTTCATCAACGCCTGAACTAATGGTCTGGAGTGAAGTAGTTGAACTTATCGACCCCGATATGTTGGTGTCTGACGAAATCTTAGTGAGAATTCAGAAAGCTCGGTTGGCCTTTGCAACCTTGCGTCACCTGTGGAGTCAGCAAGGTGTCTGTCAGTCATCTAAAGGACGAATAAAATGAGCGCTAGTTCTCTCCGTTCTGCTTTATGGCTGTGAAATGAGGCCTTGAAATGTAAAGGATATTATATTTGTATGTTACTAGTATTCGATCATAGGTGTCTTTGAAGCACGGGAATTAAGTAAGGATGACCGATCGATTGACGAGGTGATGAATGTTTGTCGACTGAGGTAGTTAGGACATGTATTACGTATGTCCATCTAACGACTGATTCTATGTGCGGCGATATTGGATTGGGTTGGAATAAATCTATGGGTTGTCAAACTAAGACATTGCATCAATCCATGAAGACACTGACTACTGGCCTAAGCCACGTGATTAAGTCTAGACCAACTGTTTTGTGTCTGAGTGATTTCCGTAAGTGATGGTTAGAGATTCTGAATAAAATGTTTTAAAATCGTTTGTAAGGGTACAGATTCATTCATCATTTGTCTTCCCTTGGATTCCTAGTTTTGAAATTCCTCATAAAATTTTTCTTTATTTAACAATTTTTGATTCCCTCCTTGAATTGTCTCTTGAATTCCCAATCTTAAAATTACCACTATTACTATTACCACCACTGCTACTATGAGATTTACTCCGACAATTTCATCTTACTGTGCTAATGATATCTAAAACCGATGTCCATATGTTCTAGGTTCTATAAAACTGACCGTCCAGTTTCGGTTTTTTTCGGACGACGTTTCTTGTTGACCAGTTTCGCTAATGATAGCTGAAAATCTAACAGACTGTATTCTTATTTTACTGGAAGAGAGCCAAGTAATATGTATGAAGGAAGTCATGATACATCTTGGTTAACTGAATCTAATGTACTTCGAGACACTGTTCTTCACTTTTTTTGCTTTCATCATCTCTCATGTTCCACTTAAATACTTGTTAACTTTGCTGACGATCACCCTGTATGTGTCTCAGTAGTTTTAGTGGTGCATCTTTTTACATTTTTGTATGGATATGGGAAGTCTTAAAATAACTGGAAAGTACTGTTCGACTGAATAAAAGCCACAAACTTTACTCGGATTTCTCATTTTATCATTCTCTGGCACGACGTGGCTCAAGCTTTATTAGTGTTTATGTAAGCGAAGGAGAATACAGAAGCTCTGCAACATTATCTTGGGCGTACTTTGCGATGAAGTTTATATGAGAGTTGACCTAACCAGCAATCTTTGTACATGAATATATGTGCCTGTAATTGTAAGGACTTTTATAACCATATGTAAATATTTCTCCTGTGAATTTTAAGTATGGAACCCTGTCGAAATATTTTAAGCTGATTATTCCGTACTGTACAAATTATGTATTAAATCGAACATTTTTTAGTATTACAGAGCATCATCCACAGATCACCACTTTATTCTTCCCAACTCACTTAAAATTATCATCCATGTCAAAAGTAGTTTGATGGGTCCGTATTGATTTTGTGGTTTCGTTTTTGTTATCTAGTCTGCTGGTGACCAGTTAGTTGACCAGAAATTTAAATGTACCTCAGAAGTTGGTTTTAGGTTCCATGAAATAATCGATTAAACGTTTTGTTCCTTAATAATCTTTAAACATTGGAGTCCCCGTTATGTTAATATACCGGGGCTGCTTCTGTGTTTTTTGTGACGCTTTGATTCCGCCTCCCGGTCATAATAACTATGAATCTATCCTATTCAATTTCAGCAACTCTTGCAAATCGAAACAAGATGACAGTGGCAAGTTGATATCCAACTGTATTTCAGATCTACATTATGAACTTCTGCAGGTATTTTCTAGTAGTTTATTCACCAAATTAAAATCGAATTTTTTTTAGTTATACTTTATAACTGGTTATGTGTTGCTATTTAATGTAGGACAGATAAAATATGACTAGCAGTGGGATCCAGGACGCGCGTTTTGTCTTATTCAGGACTTCCCAGCCGAATGTACCTGTATCTTAGAGTTAGTTTCCAGTCCTTTACTCGAATCGAGTACCGTTGCCATTTATCTGTTAGTTCGAACTCATAACGTTTTCAAACTGATAACATGAACAAGACTTATATAATGTGAAATAGTATCTAGTACATATTATATCAACATTGCATTGGTTATGGTCTTTAGTGAGCTATTCAAAATGTGAAAAATGCAATATTCCCAGGAATTCCTTTTTCTAAACCACCACTTCAGAATATTTAAGTAGCTCGTATATAGTTGAACCTGTTCCCATGAAACTTAATTTTTGGCTCTCAAGGACGAGACCTTTTATAAACAACGCGTCTTACACTGTATCATCGTGTTATGAAGGATGTTTTCTGTAATTTGATTAGACGAAATTTTCAATTGTCATAATCGATGGATGAACCCAATGGTATTGTGTGGTATTGATGGCTACTCACGATACTGTATAGTTGACTTAGGCCCCCTGAATGATTAGAAATTAAAGGCAAGACAGACCACTAGCCAAATGACCGATTCTTCATATAATAAATAACACGCTTTTATACAAGGTATGAATACAATATAACCATGGTTAAATATCATAGACAATCGAAGAAAATTAGCTTGTAGGTCACTCGTCCTTCAATGAATTATTACCTGATTGTTAGAACTAGTCTGTGGACATCGTATCGCATCGTTAATTAGTGAAACTTAATTGACGAGGGGTTCGGTTAGACAGCTTCGGAAGGATAATGCAGATCGTTGTTGTAGGCCTTTTGTGTTTATGCGTCAGGTTTCCTGAATGGCTTAGCTAAAGAAAGTAGATAACAAAAGCATTTTTTATGACACCTAATGCTCTTTGTTTAGTCCATCAATATCTTGTTCTAGTTACACTTGGATCATTCACTTTTTATGAATATATATATATATATTCAAGCAATATAGAAGAGAAAGCCCTCTTTTATGTAAATTCTTTCTGTTTAGAAAAAAGCCTCTATATCATACCAATATTCTGTATATATATGGTTTATACATGACCTTAGAAAAACATAACCATTAAACGTATTAAAAAACTTAATAACCAAAAATAGATAGGGATTTTCAGACGACCGTGTACTTTTGGAACTCAGTTCAAAGTATTTTGTGATCTTCCAAATAACATCGATGATTTGTTATCTTATTTGCTGATTCGTAGTACGTCCTTATTATTAAACTATCACGTTTTGCGCTAAACATGTCATCAGTTTCGCAACGTATAGTGATAAGATCAGTGTTTAAAAAAGTTCTTCTGACGTTCTCATTACTCAAATACGACTACAGCTTCGTATAATTACGTGGTTTCTTCTAAATTGTGCACATTCATTCGAGTTAATAGGCTTTCAAACTTTCAATTTGCTGTTGTTTCATGAAATTCATTCGTTTTAGATTTCAATAATTCTCACAATAGTAGTATTGCTTATGAATATATTGTATTTGCTCGTCAAATTTTTTTCATATTTGTTTGATTAGTTGTACATCTAAGTTAAATTATTCTCGTGTCATAAAATAATATTTAATTTTACTGCATACTCATAAGTGTTTGTCAGAACCTGCCAGTCTTGCTTCCCACCGTCATGGCAGTGGAGTTCCCGGACCGTCTGGATTTTCAACTTGGCTTCTTACATGTTCGCGAAAGATGGAGTATACAAAAGAATTTTACTATATGGAATCAATGATTACTCAAGTTCATGAACAGTGTAACTTGATTAGTTCGCTACCGAAACATGAATCGTCAGGGGATAAACAAATTGACCTTTTAGAATTAACGATCATTCGATTAGCAGAATTTATGCAAATTTGTTGGGTTAGTGGACGTATACGTAATTTAAGTTCAGGTAATTTTTTAAACATTTTAAATGATATTACTTTTACAATCTCTTTACACTAAAACGAGCTTTTCTCGTTTTGTATTGTTTGCTTGAAACTTCCCATTGACGTTTAGGACTTCAATTGATCAGTCTCTTATCAGTATATGTACGGATTGCCTCAATATTTGCCTGAATCCACAGGCATTATAGACGGAAATAGATGGTGGCTAGCAGTGGAATCTAGGACTCACGTTTCATCCTATTTGGGATTTGTCCCGGAGTGAACATCAACTCTGGAATGCAGGTACATTTAACTTACGAGTCCCAAATATGACGAAACACGCGTCCTGGATTCCATGGCTAAACACCGTTCATCTTTGCTTATAGAACTTATCTCGGTTGTCGATCTAGAGATATCTGTTTAAAGTTTTAATCTTGATCAAACTTGATAACGAGAAATATTGCATCCAGCGTACTGTTATATTATAATATACTTTTATCATACATAGTAGCTAATTACGAAGGCAGGTACTATCTGCAACTTTTACATAATTGATTATGTTTCGTTGTACTGACTAAAAGTTAAGGATTAGGAAGAGTGAGCCAACTGGATTTGGCTTGGTTGCAAATATATAGCTGAGCTTCAAGTAAGAAAACATAACTATTCAAACGATTGCGGATGATATTGTCTTACTGTGCGATAATGCCCAAGCCATGCAATTCTCACTTAACCAGTTGGCAATCAGTGTCTGTAGGTATGGTATGTGCTTTGCACCTTCGAAGTGCAAAGTACTTCTACAAGACTCGCAGGATTCTAATCCTGTATTCACTCTGGATGGTGAGCAGACAGAAGTAGTCGAGAAGTTCTTGTATCTGGGTAGCTGCACAAGTGCTGGTGGTGGCGTGAGTGATGAGATCAACGCACGTATAGTGAAAGCCAGAGTGGCTTATGCCAATCTGGGCCATCTTTGGCGTCTTCGTGATGTCAGTCTGGCTGTAAAAGGTCGGATCTACAACGCGTCGGTGAGAGCAGTTTTGCTCTATGCTTGTGAAACCTGGCCTCTCCGAGTTGAGGATGTTAGACGACTCCCTGTGTTTGATCATCGTTGTCTCCGAAGGGTTGCTGACATCCAATGGCAACACCATGCTAGTGTTGCAGAGGTTCGGCATCGTGTGTTCGGGCACAGAGACGACAATCCAATTGGTGTCACTATCTTGAAACATCGACTTCGGTGGCTTGGACATGTTCTACGAATGTCGTCCCAGAGAATTCCACGTAATGCATTATTTACCGACTGTGAGACTGGTTGCCTGACCGTAGCTGCTACCTTGACGTGGTGGTCGGGCTTGCCTATCGTGATGACCCAACCGAGCTATATTGGCTGGAACACATGTTCCTGCAGGTTCTACCATGCCAGGCAGGTAGGTTGGAAAAAGCGGAGAGGTGGTCAGTATATGACATGGTGTCGTGGTATGAAAAAAAGCTGCAAAGGGCTAGCTTCTGTTGGCATTTCACGACTCCCTGGCTGGGGTCCGAGAGATGATGTAACACAGTGGCTAGAGACGTTATCAGATATGGCTCAGAATAGAAGCCAGTGGTGATCCTGTTGTAACCTTCTTTTACTTTCTTCGTAAAAAGTGGTTGCTTCTTCCTTAACTGTAATATTTCCTCTGATTGTACCTTTTTCGTTTCCCCCATTATTACTACTCTTACACTAATCTGTTCGTTATTGTTTTTTTCTTCCCTTCTCTTTAAATTCCTCATTGTTTTGTGTGGTGCATATATATTTGGTGCCCCCTTGTACCAATATTTATGTATGGTCTAGTGGTTAAGTGCTCGCGCGCGAAACCAGTAGGTCCTGGGTTTCGAATACCGCAAGGGGTGATGTCGTGGATGCGCACTGCTGGGAAAGCCACAATAGGACGAAATGGCCGTTCAGTGCTTCCAGGTTTCCCATGGTGGTCTAGCTTCAACTGACTCATAATCTTAACCATTGAAATTACTATAATATCCACAAAAACCCGTCTGAAAATAATTATTGCCCACGAATGCCTTGGTACGGCCGAGAGTGGGGAGAGTCCGCTCTCCCTCTCGAAATGCTCTCACATGGCACCACGTATATAGCCTCTGTCAAGGAAGTCCTACTTACCGCCTTCTCGTGGCGGGGTTGTTGTTTACGAAAATGAGAGGACGAAAAGCGAATGTTCGGCGCTTTAACCGGACCCCAAACCAATGGTGCACATGGGCTCCAGTATCCTGCGGGGACAAATGGCGTATGAACCAATCGTTGGTCACCGGCTACCATGGGACTGCATCTCCTTACGATGCTCCACTGCCTTGTGGGTCAGATCTTCAGGTCGAAGGCTCGGGGTGTGGCTCCCTAATAAAACCACCTGCTTCGGTTTGGGCACCTGGACAGTATCACAACCCTCAGACATATCAAATGAGATCTGTGTGGCGCATATGTATTTGGTTCCTCGTTGTACCAATATCTATGTGTTAAAATAAATAATAAATAAATGTACTAATATTTATGTGTTCGAATAAATAAAAAATAAATAAACAATTACATAAATAAGTCAGTCAGTCAGCTGCAACGTAGGACCAGGCATCGGTCCAAGTTGCCATACCGCATTAGCACAACAAGATGAACACCGAATTCATAGTAGTTAATTCAATGGTGGTAATATATAAAAGGATATAGTACAGGAAGAAAGAATTAGTTCGTAGAAAGAAAGATATGAAGCGATATTAATCTCTTAGTTTAAGAGAAAACAGAGAGTGTATACACCGACGCCATTGTGATCGATTCTAAACCATGTCACCAAGAATCTCCAACCCTTGGTTACGATAGTCACGCGGACCCCAACCAGGCAGTCTGCATCTATCAACATGGCTAAGACCAGAAGTTAGTGACTTCAAGCACTGATGCCACGTTTTGGTTTGGCCGCCCCTAACTTTCTTCCAATTATCCGTAACACCGGTTGGCATTGCGCGTCGTGGTAATCGGTGTTCAGGCATACGCAGCACGTGGCCCAACCATCTCAATTGATAAAGGTTCATAGCCTCATCAACTGATTTACCATCATTTCCTAATACCCTGCGTCTAACCTCACTATTGCTTACCCGGTGATCCCAGCATATGCGAGCAATATTTCTAAGGCGTCTGTGGTCAAATACTAGTAACTTACGAATATCTTCTACTCTTAATGGCCATGTTTCGCAGCCGTAGAGTAGAACAGAACAAACTGTCGCGTAGTATACTCGTCCCTTAATTGACAGACGGATGTTTCACCTTCGCCATTGGTGACGTAAATTGGCAAAAGCTAAACGAGCTTTTCGAATTCGTGTTGAGATTTCGTCAGACGCTAACCCATTAGGGCTGATCAGACTTCCAAGATAAGTGAAGTTGTCAACTTGTTCAACTACTTCACTTCCTATCATTAGTCCAGGTGTTGACGCAGACCAGTCCTGAAGCAACAACTTGCATTTAGAGGGAGAGAAGCACATCCCAAACATCCTGGCATTGTTGCTCAGTGCTACCAAAAGACTCTGCATTTTATCAGCGTCTTCATCAAGTAGGACTATATCATCTGCGTATTCCAAGTCGATAAGTGGACCTCCTGGTAGGAGATCAATGCTCGAGATTCAGTCGATGAGAGCGTTATTTGCATCAGTAGATCTATGATAAAGTTAAACAAAAATCGAGAAAGTGGACAGCAACAACGGTCGGGATTGCATAAATAAATCGTATAAGAAATCATACGTGTCGGTTAAGCTTAACGTATGCTAGAAAAAACATACTAATCGATAAAACCCGCGTAACGTGTATTTATTTGCTTACTAGTTCAGAAATTGTCATGTGATCGTAAATTCGATTGCTTGCTGATTAAAATATCGTCCATCCGCCTCTTAAATTTTTTAATTATACAAGTCATTAAGGCCTGCATATCAAGGATGACTAAAGGACACGGTCATAGACTGTTTCCTTGTAGAAAACATCTCATGCTACATAAGTACATTCATGTGGAAACGCCTGGTTAGCGCTTACCAATAGAAGTTGCTCACTCCAGATAGTGTCAAAGAATCGTCACTCACGTAGCCTGTCTGTGATACATTCACAGAGACATTATTTCTGAAATACAAATTGAAAAAGGTACCAACAACATACTGTGTCACTAAAAGTACTTTTTAATTCTATATCTATAAAATATAGACTAGAATGCATGTTTGCACAAGATTCCAATCACAAACCTACTCCTTTCTCTAAAAAATCCACCTTTTAAAATCACCTTACGTTACTCGAAGATACAATCTAAATTTCACGTGGGATGGATTCTGAACAGTCTTGGTTGCCATATGTGGATCCTTCGCTGATTGCCTCGACGCGATTGGTGTCTTGTAGTACTTTATGGAATAAGTGGAATTTGATTAGGGGAGAAGAAACGCGCGTCCTTGATTCCATTGTTAGCCACATTCCATCTATTCTGTGAATTTTAAATTTTAGGAATTTCATATTACCAAGTTTTAAAATTTAATCAAACTAAGGAATTCAAGTCTTTTTCTTTCAGTCATTGCTTGTATTTTTCTTTTTATTATGCACAAAAGATTTCACCTGAATGATATCTTGTACCTTTAATTCAAGACTTTGTATCTATTGTTAAGACCTTTATTTTTGCAAGTTTTTTTTATCTTCATTAAAAAGACGAACTAAGTGTTTTCATACTGACAGATCGAAACGTTTTCTCTGCTAGGTTCTGTTAGTAAACCATAACGATAGAATGTGAGCTGGTTACATAGTTGTGGAAAAAATCTTTAGGCTTTCAGGAATGTCATTAACTTTTGCTATCTAACCTGGATATATGCTAATTTTATGTTGATTGTGCAGCTTTTGTGAACTAGTTTATCGTATCCCCATGATGTATTTCTAATTTCTTCTTGTTTTAGATGAATTTTACAAACTTCTTGCTCCATTAGGATGTCATAGTTGGATCGATCTTATTCTTACACGTTTCAAAAGATAATTACGTCTCCCTGTTAAGTGTGTACAGCCCATTTATTAAAAAAGAAATGGAAATTGTAATAAAAGTTCTTCATTTCTTCAGTCTTTTGTACGAGGTTTTCGCTTCCATTGACACCAGTTAGGAACTTATCTAACCTAAAATTTATTGCATGAAATTTCATTCGATTCACAGTTAAAACTCATTGTATGTTGAATTGAATTTCAGCACTGGTCACTATGAAATTTGTGGGCAACTAGATAACACTTTTCTATCCTTATACATAATTATCCCGAGTGAGTTTCATACTGAAGACGTATGTGAATCTGTCATTAGTTGAGAACAGATCGAGGGGGACCAACCTATAAGAGATATATCCACAATTGATTAACCACTATGCAGAGATAAATGCCAAGTTAGTTTAGTCTTTTGGTGCTGATTGGATTCTATCGATTAAGTTACAATGAAACCATTAATTTGAACATGTCGACTTCGCATGTACTATGCTGAGATGTTAAGTGGTTAAGGGTATTCGGGAGGAAACCCAAAGGGATCATCAGTCCCCTCAAGATTGAAGATAATAACTGGTACCTAGGGGGGCAACTGATACCTAGCATGTTCTCAGAAAGTACTAGAGACCGCGTGAATTCTGTTTGAAATAGTGAATGACAATTACTTAATATCAGTGCATTAGGTTATTTTCCATTTGCTGCGACTTCTATAGTATTTTTTTGTTCCCAAAAGCTTGCAAAAGTAGATTTATCTTACTGAATATCTTTAGTAGTTACAGTTTACTCACTTTATACAAGTCGAGAAGTATTCATTACCAAAGAAGGCAACGACATTATCACCAAAACCACCAGGTTAATTAGACAGCAGGATTTTTCTGTAGACTCTTAAAATCTGTAATTGGAGTATCAACGGCTTGGGATTATATCACTCGAACTAGGCCTCATGATATCAGTGATTTCGATAAGCAGAGTCAACTTAATGTAATCCCCAGAGTTCGGCTACTTTCAACACACTGCGTATTTTGGAAATCATGCTTTACTACTTAGTAGATGTAACGGTTCGTGAAAGAAGAAAATTCCTGTAACTTTAAATCAATAAAATGATTTAACATGCAGTAATGTTATAAAGAGTCCACAAAACGCAGGATTTCACTGGTCGCTTTATTAGTTTATGCTTTATGTAGCTTCTAACGCTTCTCGACGAAGTAACATCCATCTTCGTATCTAGGTTAGTTAGATATAACATGGTTGCAAGAATGAGTGCTACTAAGAGGTTTACACTAACTCGTTTTAGACATTTGTTAGTTAAACCCAAAGTGATTTTGTCACAATCCATAGTCATACATGCTTTGCACCAGTCTTTGTCCAGGGAAGTATGTCAGAGACGTCAGATGGGTAGTGATACTGACCGAAATTAGTTATAAACTGCGCAATACTTGACAAGATTGTCCATTTTATTTAACCAGTAGCCACCCGACACCCCTTGATCCTAGAGATAATTTCTCTATGGGTAAGCACTCAAACTGTTAATTAAAATCTTCAGCATCACAATCCGTATGGTTTGAAAATTCTCCGATATGGCTTTCACCTTCCCATCGTCTGGACGGATAATGGCAGTTATCAAGGCTATCTAGAGTCCCTGACCTTTCCTATGGTACTTCTATTCTCAGCTTTGACGAACCCTAAGTTTGGATATAAAGCTTTGCTTCCATTCCCTCACATTACACCAATTGTGGTCGTTGTACTTTGGATTATTCGACCTTATTTGTTCATTTTTTGTGTTTCCCGTTTCGAGCTATCTACTGCATCTGATTCTCATTTTCTGCTAATCATATCGTTAATTTCATCTTACTGAAACGTTTGGTATGTCAAATGTGATAACTACACATTTGTGTCCAATCCTACTTGATGATCAGATAAATGTTACACTTTAGCACTTGTGAGGGCAATGCAGTCAAGTTATTGCAGCAGATAGGACTTCCCTGAATGATCATTTTAGCTTACTACGTCAACTAGACTTACATATATAGATGTTACATTCAACATCTTTTGGTAAACAATCGAATAAGACGAGTCTATTAATAAGAAAGTACTTCATATGTTGTGTTACAATAACATATCGAATACTCTCACTCTAATTTTCAAAATTTCAAACGCATACTCAGTAAAAATGATTTCCGCTTCGGCTTGTCAAGATCACGTGCATTGTGCAACACGTAATGGATTCAATATTTTTGCTTACAGTAGGATTTTGAATACGTCGAATTTTTGGATGGTTTTCATGAACTGTTGCCAATCATGATTACCTCTCATTAACTGTCGTGTAATTTTCATCCTCCCCTTCGCCCTCCGTTTTTGTTCTTTCGCCTCACGATTTTTTCTCTTCAACCACCTGATTAGAGAGAGAGAGAAATCAGTGTTATTTTAAATTAAATTGGATTCTATAATTCAGTCTCGTGTAACAATGTGGATTCCGATTTAAAAGTGAATGTATGGTTCTTGAAACTAGATAGAAAGTTTGCCAAGTCAATTAAGTTGTGCTATGAGTGAAGTCATTAAAATATTGTTAAACTCTATGATAAATATCCCAATATTTCAATTAGTTCGCTGAGTGCATTGTCTTTATGTGTAAGCCACAGCCGTGATTTTACACTACTTCATTGTTTTTGTAATCTAAAACGGAAACGCTTTGAAATACTGAGATCGGATTGAAAGTCTACATTTATATGAAGTGAAAAGACATCTGAACTATTTTCTAACAATTTCTAAAAGTTTATGTACAGACATCCTTTCGTGTAAGCTTTTGTTCAACTGAACAAATGTCACAATAAAACGCGCACTAATTATAGTGTAGAGCCGTCACTTTTTTTGGACTACACATGCGGTTGTAAAATGAATATAGTTCCTTTACAGTGTGAATTAAGAAGGTACCCTAAACTTTTATCCCGTTCTGAGTAGATTTGTCAGAGTTCACACTTTCAATCAAGCACACAAATGTTTATGATAAGCTGTTCTTTAGAATTAAAAAGTAAAATTGTCCCCCCCTCATTGTCGAAGTGTGATAATAACGTTTTACGGAAACAAATTATCTAAACAAAATTCTAACCATGTAGCTTTCGTTGAGCGGCTGCCTAGTGGTTAAGGCAGTCACCTTTCAGTTCGTTTCGAACCCCCTTACTTATTTCATTAACGCTCGCATTTAAAATGTGGCTCATAATAGAGTACCTGGTGAATGAGTTAACGTACTATAGCTTTGTATTATCTTTATATCGAGCATCTTTTAATTAGAATATTTCAGTGAGATTCAGAGTATATTCAATGATTGACCTTACGCATAAAAACTTCCAGCAAAAAAGGGAACATTATGTGTAAATACTTTGCCTTCTTTAAGGCTTTAAACCCTGTAAATTTGCAGTCCAATATGAATTACAGGATAATCCAGAATATGCATTAGACCAATAAGTGGAAAGTTCTGCTTTCTATTTAGTTCGTTCTTTTTAAAATCCTATACTGAATACCACACCAAACAATTGACTTTGTTTTAACCACTAATACTTATGGTAAGTGTGATGTTACCTTGATAACAAGCTAAACGTGATACGGTCTTCGTTTAAGTTCATGCTTTGTTGATCCTTAATCTGACACTGTTCACCTTCTTCTGTAGACTTACTTACGCCTGTTACTCCTAATGGAGCATAGGCCGCCGACCAACATTCTCCAACCCACTCTGTCCTGGGCCTTCTTTTCTAGTTCCATCCATTTCTTGTTCATTTTTCTGATGTCTATCTGCATTTCCCGGCGTAGTGTGTTCTTTGGTGTTTTTCTTTTCCTTTGGCCTTGAGGATTCCATGTGAAGGCTCGCCTTGTGACGCAGTTGTGTGCTTTCCTCAATGTGTGTCCTATCCACTTCCATCGCTTCTTCCTCCACTGGGATCTGATATGTTCTCTCCCATAGTAGGTTGTTGTTAATAGTGTCTGGCCAACTGATCCGAAGTATTTTGCGCAGACAACTGTTAATAGACACCTGTATCTTCTGGATAATGGCTTTCGTGGTTTTCCAGGTTCCGGCCCCATACAGTAGAACTGTCTTAACATTTGTATTGAAAATTCTGACTTTGGTGTTGGTTGCCAATTGTTTTGAGTTCCAGATGTTCTTCAGTTGTAAATATGCTGCTCTTGCTTTGCCAATCCGTGCCTTCACATCTGCATCAGATCCACCGTGTTCATCGATGATGCTGCCCAATTATTTAAAGGCTAGTACATCTTCCGAATCTCCGTCGAGTGTGATTGGATTGGTGCATGCTGTGTTGTACCGGAGAATCTTGCTTTTCCCTTTGTGTATATTGAGACCTATTGCTGCTGAGGCTGCTGCTGCTACACTGGTCGTCTTATCCTGCCTTTGTTGTTACGTTTGTGATAGAAGAGCCTGATCATCTGCGAGGTCTAGATGTCCACTGTATCCAGTGCTTCCCTTCAGATGTTGACGTCTTCATGATCCAATCGATCACCAGGAGAAAGAGAGAGGGTGAGAGTAAGCAACCTTGCATAACACCGGTATTTACTTCGAACAACTTCGTCGATTGTCCTCCATGCACGATTTTGCAGTTTAATCCATCATAGGAATTCTATATGTTATATCCTAGCAAATGTTAAATTAATTATGGGTGACTGCTGGGAACGGTTTTGTATTGTTATCATATGTATGTTCTTATTGGATAACTTAAGTATTTTATACATATATTCATATTCTTTCCATTTGACTTATTGACTACTATTATACGATTTACTATTGTTAAGTTATTACCAATTTATTAGTTACAGTATCTCACACATACACATTTGGCCAGATTTTGTATAATTGTTGTTTTCTACTTCATGGTATGATGCGGCCTGATTTGCTTGCATTTAAACTGCGTATGTCTGAAATACGCGATTCATATAGTAGAAGCTGTGTTCTGGCAGGTCTAGGCGGAAGAACCAATCTTGATTCAGAGTTGACCGTAAGTTGCTCGTACCGCTTAATCCGGCATTGGTCTGGTATAGTATCAAGGTCATAGGAGTCCGTGTTTTAACTGGGCGATCTAAACACGCGACATAGTTAGCAGGTCCTAGAATACAACACTTCACAAATCTAAATGATTATAGATTACATTCATTCACCACAAATTAGATAGTCTAACAATCATGCGAACTTACTGTGTAAACGCTTGCTCACATGCCTCTCTGGAATGCACAACATTCAGATGTTGTTGTTCTTCATTTTTATATCGTCTCATTTCCTCTTCACTTTTTCTTTGTAAAACTTTAGCCCTTAACCAGTTCGATAATTTCTGATCACGCGAATTTTTATCTGCAATCTAATTTTCACGGAAATTTAAACGGGTTTTGTGTAAGGATATATTCATTTTAAGAGTTCCCCTATTTATTTTTTCAAGTGTATATTGTACTACATTTATTGTTATCAGAATTAAACCTGCTTCTTTTTGTCGAATATGTTCTCTTTTATGTTTTTCCCTCTCCTCCACCTTAACTTCCATGTATTCCTGATGTTTAAGTCGATGCCACGCCTTTATGAAGTCAGAAAATCAGTGGTGTATTTAAAAAAACAGTTTCTTTGTTATATACAACATTTTCAAAAAAATGAAATGAAATATTAAATTTATCTACGGTAAACTGACGTATTGTGGACGGCTAATCAGTTTTAGATCAATTGAAGCTTTCTTCAGGATTGTTTTCCACCTAGAAAACAGCTGCAGAAATGTTTGAATCTATAAATCACTTAACCTTTTTCAACTCTAGTATGTGTATAACCAAGATAAGACTAAGTTATTTATTAGTTAGTGATCGAAAAACCAAGGATAAAATTGGAGCTTACAAAGTTTTTGCGGATTCTCCACTCATCTCCAGCGTAAAAACCTCAAAACGCTAATCACATTTGGGCTTGCTGCTTGGTCAATAAAGGACTGTTGTAAGCAGTATGCGACTACTAATTTACTAATGTTTTCAGATATATGAAAATAACCTTGTAATTTATCACTTACTTGGATAGAATTTCCCTTCGCTTTCTCGGTTAACGGCTTATCATTATTATTTTGAGACTGAGAATTACATGTCCTTTCATTTTTTTGATCACTTACATGCTTGGTTATTATTTTAGTAATATTGTTATCTTGCTCGTTGATTGAAGTTGTTCGGTACTTCTTCGTCCATGTTACGTCGTCTGTAGGTGTAACATTTATATCTAAAAACAAGTCATTGATCGTTTGCTCGAACGTTTGTTTATCTAAGTTGAAAATTAAAATATTTTAACTATGTAAACTTAATAACTGGTAAATAATATCGAGGAGCCATATGATAAAATTGATATGATGGAAAGAAAGGTCAATTTTCGATTGATTTACTCATTGTGAGTTTTGTTCAAGATTACTCCCGTTTTGATTCAATGTAATGATTACTCAATGTAGTATTTCTTTTTTTCTCGTATGATATTTTATCCCGTATAATATACGATATTCTTGTATTCCATTGATCTAATCTATGCTCAGTATGTGACTTGTGATAACTCGAAGTACTTTTCATGTGTGTGTGATTTCATCCTAATTATTAATCGAAATGGGTGTACAATCAATATATAAACCAGTGTATTTTCTACTATTATCATTATCGTCGCCATCATAGTGTTTTGGGACTAATAAATCTTGACTTATACCAGTCTTTGTTTTCTTACTTTCGCGTCGTGGGAATTGCAGAGGTCCCTCGTTCCGAGTATAAGTGACCAGCGTTTTTCCGGCACAACAATCAGCGACGACCAAACATTGCAAAAATTTATATTGCATAATCCAAACTGAATCCAGTTTCACAAAAATGTATTTTCTCCGTTAATTCTTATCTAGACTTATTGACTACAAGTTTCTGATTAATTGCACATTTCGTCTACCTCATTATCTTTCTCACAATGATTGGTCAAATGCATCCTTTTACTTACTAATTTGAATACGCCTTTACAAAATATACCACGAATTTCGATTGAGATCGTGAACTGATTGATGTTAGACCACCACTGAAAACCTGGAAGCACTAGAAATTATTACGTAGTAACCTCCACGGCCCCACATTTGATAATTACCATGTGCTCACTAGTGACTAGCTTCGTGAGGGGATTTTTGGAGTTCTATTGAGATGCCGTGGCCAGTGGAGCTAATCCGTTTCGAGTACAATGGATTATGGTCGCAAAATTTCGTGGATCGTTTGAGGTAAGACATTAACACCGTTGGATGCCGACTAAGTGGTCTCGAGTTCAGGTGTTCATGTGCGAGACTGAGGGCCCTGGGTCCGAATCCCCCGAGGAGTCCCACAATAGAACAAAACTGTCGTCCCGGGCTTCCAGGTTTTCAGTGGTGGTTTAACATCAATCAGTTCACGATCTCAATCAAAACGTAATGATCTTCACAACCTCATAATGGTATATAACAAGAAGTTGGTTTTTGTCGACAGAAAGCTCTAATTTTTGAAAACCATTAATTTTAGGTGATTACTGGATGGCTTTGCAAATATTAGCGATTAAAGTTCGGTTATTCTCAACTAGACGAAAAAAGAAACTATTCAAAATAAACGATTTTAAGTGAAAGTGGAAAAATAAATGTCTAAAGCGGAATATGATATTCATGATTTAGAGGAACATGCAAGATAATGGTATGAAAATGTGTTTACTTTTAACACACTAGGTGAATCACCTCGGTGTATAAGGAAGAAAAATAATCGTCATAAACCATCCAATTTCGTAATAATAACACACTTATCAAAGTATTTCTTGAAGTTATCTCAAAATGGAACTCAATGAGTTAACGGGTGATCTTTTTTCCCAGTTTTTTGTCAAAATTAATCCACATATTTTCTCTGCCAAAACTAAATCTATTTCCATGGATATAGGGCTAAATATGATACGCAAGGATCTTTAAACTTTTGGTTAATCATTTATTGATATTTATCGATAAGGCACATGGAAGCCTAAGGAAACGAATATACCACTATTCAAGTGCATTCGTACCATTCACCGACTGACTGAATAAGCAAATCAGTGTATTCTCTATAACTACAAGTGAATGGTACATGTAAATCTATTGAAGGAATAAAACATCTACCATATAGATCCTTAGGTTTAGTAGACTCTCAGTTTGCAACAACATACAAAGAGATACACCTCAGGATTAACTGGTAAAGCATCAGAATGGACTGTATATTTGGCATTGGTGTTTATTTATACTAGTGAACATGAACACCCGAGTTCCTAAATGCGAAATCTATATTATTATGCAAACTACATTTCAAATCGTAATCCCGTTTCTTAACTTTATCACCAAAATAAGTGAAATATAAAAATTATATCAAATTTTCTGATTACTAATCTAGCTTTTGTTGCTCGTTTTTTGCATAAACAACGAGAGTGATAGCTCATTTTCTAGACGGGTAAATTTTTGTTGCTTAAAGTTAAAAGCCAGCTTTTTATAAATGTCAGTATACAGTTGTGGAGATTGTTGGGTTTAAGTTGATACCATTAATGGATGAATGTCAGAGCACCATTGAAAACCTGGAAGTACTACACTGCCGTTTTGTCCTAGTATGGGACTACCATGATATTATAGCTCCATATTGATGGACTTCGATATTTGTCTGCCACTCTGAAAACCCTCTTATATGAGTGCTCAGTGTATATCATTTAAAATAATATTGTGAAATGAGAGGCAAATGGATCTAAACTTACAAACTATACACTTAACAAAACAGTTCAGCGAATTATTTATTAAACCGAAGAATAAATGGAGTGGCAGACGCTTATCAGTTTTCTTTCGCATTTATAGATGTTATCTGAACAACGAAAATTTCGTGAAAGTTGAAACTATTTGGCTGCAGCCGGATAAACCAATGTCTATTTTTGTTTCAACTTGTTTTATCCATCAGGATACTCCAGTTACCCATAAATCTATCAGAAAATTAACTTGGATTTATAAATGAGTTGTAAAAAGGCAGAAATAAAATCCTTAATTATAGTTTTGACTAAGTACTCGCACATTTAACTTCAAGCCTTTTTATCTAACACTTTTATTTAGTAGTTTAAATCATACTATGGACCAACAAAAACAGTTCCCTATTTAGTTAATAATAAATGTCAGTGACTAAGAATTGGTACGGCTCTTCAAGTGACCATTCTGTGGTCGTTCATATATAATATAAAGAACTACTTGGAATAATCTGTGGAAGAACACATCAAACAGCTTACTTGTTTGAGTTAGTTTGTAACCTAAAAAATGATTTGTTCCATACACTGAATCAAAAAGTGACAAAAAAATAAAATCCTATTGTTTTACTAGTTTCACCAAATATTAGTCCCTAACTTAGTAGTCTATTCACAATGTTTGTTTCCAGTGGCCATATAGCCATTGAAACTGACTTTTAACTTCACATAAAGTATTATTAACTTATTCAAATGATTAAAACAGCTACTTGAGCCGGATTTTAGTCTAACCGAGTCTATTTAACTTCAATTCCATCAGAGAAAACTTTTAACCTTCAAACCTTTGACAGATAACTTACCGTCAGTCAGATTTCGGTCGGACTCTTCTATATTATTTTCTTTTAAGGTGAGAGACTGTTGTCCACCTAAGTTATCCTCACTGATATTAACAGGTCCTGGTATATCAGACGTCCGCCGTTGGGAAGACTGTGGACTTGCGTTCATAATTGACTTATTCATTGTATCATCATTGTGACTTAATTTCTTCAACTCGTTTATTTCGTCTTCGCTGAAATCATTTAACTCTTCGCAACTATTCTGGCTTATTATCCGTGAATAAAAAAGTTGTGGATGAAAATTTACGCGTCCCGTCTTTTTTTCATAGTTATCAACAAAATGTTCTTTCTCTTTCGATAATTCCAAGTTAAGTTCTGCCACACGTCTTCTCACATATGCATTAGAGTCATCAGAGTCATATGTTTCATCTTCTGCTAGATTTAATTCATTGTTACTTTGATCGTTGCTTAAGTGAAGTATTTCATTGTTGTTCCTAAGTTCCGCTTTGAATGCACCTTGAGTAACGTCATTTACTAGTGAACGTGCCAAAAATTCATCGTCTGGTGAATCTATCACTTAAAGGACATATAATTGTTGAGATTTAACAATTTTGTTTCTATATATAATTTTTATAGGCCCTCACGAGGATAATTTACAAATTGGAAAAAGAAAAATAGAACAACAGTATAGTGATACTGTGTAAATAGAAACTAAAAATAACCAACTGATAGTCATTCAGAAAAGGGGTTTTATAGCTTATGCTCTCCGAAATTCGCTTTCCTATATTTTTAAAACATGTGAGTAAGTAAATAAACACATTACAGAGTTTGATGATCGAATTCACCATTTTACTTTTTGACAAACATTTTGTGCAATGCTTGATGAACACTACTCATTTATACCGTTGAACTGTGCTTATCACCTAGAACTAATATTAGCGCTGTACCGTTGCAGTTAAGACAAATAGTTCGACTATCTAAGGTAGCCTTAATAACATATTTAGCACTTCGTGCAGCGTCGAGGATTAAGACAGTAGAAAAGATAAGACAAATAACCAAAATAACTAGTTTTGACGTCCACTGACGGAGCTATGAAAATTCATATACTCTGAATCAATATCTTATTTTACCCACTGTAAATAGTTAAGTTTTGTTTCTTCTTTAATTAACATGAAAGTGAAATTTACATCAAGCCTTTTTTTATCAAAATATAGACCAGAGAATTAATACATCTTCCCCTAACAATAGGTTTAAACCGATTGTTTATTCTGTAGACATTTGTTGAACGTCAATTATAAGTTATTGAGAATGATATTAAATCTTTGGGGATATTGTCATCATCATCAACAACTACTGACACAAGAACAAGGTTTTTAATAACCAGAGAAAAACTTTGCAATATTCCTAATATTTTCTCATCCGTATCATCATTAGAAGGACCTTTAGTTACGTTTTTGTTGATAATCGGAATGGATTTTGTGGTTATATGCACATCAAATGATGATCACCTCGATATATTCGTTCTTTTTTAAATAAATGCATCGTGTCTATCATATAATAATTATGTCCGTTCGATAAGCTGGTGGTTTTCTGAACTCAGTAGCCCAGTGAATAACATATGGAGTGTTTAAAGCGAATGGTATTATGTTTGAGTCTCAATGTATTATATCAACACCAGAATGAATAGCTCAACAAACAGTCATATCTGACGTATTTGCGTTGATGTATATTTACGTAAGTGACATAAACGTTTCAACATGAAGCAGATTCCACTTTTTATTGATTGCTCTTAGATCAAATGTCCTATTTCGTTTTTTTGCTGAAGCTAAGACTTTTAGAATGTTAATTCGGAGATGCTATAAGTCACAGCCTTTCTATCCATATTTCCCTGGATATTCAGTGACAGAGCCTTTGTAAATTCTGATAAATTCATTAGAAACAATCATAGTCAAAGCAGATTATGTTATTAGGAATAAGCTGAATGATGAAAAAAGTTTCAACAGTGAAAGTTATATGAAGAAAGGTGCTGAAAAAATTTAGAGCATTGCAGAAAGAGCAGCTTCAAGATCAAGGCTCTTGTAAAACGTATATGTGTATGATTCTGACTTAAACCAGTTAATTATGACATGAAATTAAAAACCGCAATTAAGTGTTTTCAGAAACATTCTGTAGATCAATAACTTGAACCTTGATATACCGAAGTGACATTGGTGTGTAATTTGTGATGGAGCAGGTGCGTTCACTCTTATCGTTCTTAAATCCTGGGTTTTTAAATTACATTATGAACTTTTCGTCTCTTTAAGACTTATTTTCTTCTCAAGCCATGTCTTCGATGCTTAATCCTCTCTAATATCACTGAAGTTTCATCAAACAGAGTTTAGAAGTTAAGTGGATAAATTTTGAAGTGAATTGGCTCTTTTAAATAACGGTTTGATTTGTATATATTACTGATGCTTCTAACTGACTACGATGTCTACATATTCATTTCTTTTACGTCAACGGTCTCTGATTAATTTACAGACATAAGTGCTTAGTCAGCATAGTTCATCTTCAGTTTCTCTCAAGCTACATTAGTACCTAAGGCAACAGGATCGATAAATAGTCTTATATACTGATGCTTGAAGAATTCTCTGTGTTCAAGATGCACCGTGAATAGAGTTGCAAGATTCATTTTAATGGTTTTTGTGCGTGAAAATTCCCCCATATATACACGTGTAATTTATTCCAATTGATTCTTTCAGTTGTTTATTTTGTTAGTTTTTGATTCCATTTGATTTGGTAGTACTTGTATTTTATGATAGGTTTCATTTTTCATACGCCTTCACTGAGATTCCATGTTTCTTCCTGAACTGCATTTCTGTTGTTTCAGTTGGCACCTAATCTTGGCGGCAGCTATATTGGTTTGTTCCCTCTTTTAATTGTGTTGCTTGTATTGACTGGAATTGTGCATTTTCGATTGTGAATTGAAGCACTCTTCCAGAATTGAAAAGACTGTGTTATAATGCAACCAAATATTATCACTCAGGAGAATCTGTACGTGATCTATCCAGAACAACTATCTAGAATAACATTTATATGTTGTGATTGGTTTGCTTACTAACTGAAGAATCATTGGTTTAATAACTGGGTGGAAATATTGGTTTAGGTAATAATGTACATTTATATTTTTAGCAAAATATAGAACCGTCATAAATACTATCACCTTGTTTTTATTTCGAAGGGCAAATAACGCGTGTCTAAACTACCCAGACAGTTCTTCTTCAGTCTAAACATTAATTTGGACTCTACGAGTGTAAATTCATATTCGTCCAATACATTATGAGAATTTAGCGGCGCAAACAAATCACGATGCTTTTGATGTCAATGACTTAATTCTTCTACAATTCTTCCACTCATTTTTGTAAACAACACCCACGCCACGAGAAGGCAGTAAGTAGGACTTCCCTGGCAGAGGCTGAATACGCGTGGCCGTATGAGAGCATATCGAGAAGGAAGGCGTGCCCTCCCCACTCTCGGCCATACCATGGCATTTAAGGGGCGTGTGTAGAAGTGTTGTTAGGGTTGATTGTAAGTACTAGAACATGTATATTACTTCATTGACTGGGCGTCTGATCATTTCGAGTTCAACGACAAAGCATTACTGTTTCGAGCGAATTGCCATATCGTTCTGAAAAATTCTATATGATATAAGCCAGTTTTTTTATTTGTGAGAAACGAAGAAAAACGAATTTTTAATAGTTCTTCAAAAGATATGTTGCTTTAAATGTCCTTTGCAGCCTGGAAAATGCTTTCACAGAGGTATTGATGTTATACCATATAATACGTCAGGGTTTTCTCACCCTATAGGGTGACTATAGTCAAAGTCATTAAATGTTTTATGATTGCTGTTTCATGTCATTCATCTCTTGTCCATCAAAATTAACCAAATGTTTGCGATTTTACTGTTTATTAATTATTGAAAATCAAGGAAAAATTTATAATTATTTTTGATTAAGTTTTAAGGCTCATTGTAGTACTAATTTCTCCAAAATAACCTTACCTTCCTGTTTTCCGCTATTCACGGTCTCTTGATTTAATATTTCGTTTGTTGATGAGCTTTTTAATTCACAATGTTGATAACTTACTGTATCATTTTTTGTTATTGCTCGATCTGGATTAAAAGTTAATACATTATTGTAATTGCCTCATGGGTATGAAACAATATCTACCATAGGAACAAACAAAACTTCCTCTGATTACGTAGGAAGACATGAGATAACTTATTAATGAAACTATCCGAGTATTTCTAAAATACGTTTCAAATGTATGAAATTTCCCCTTTGAAAAATTGATCAACTGTTGTCATGGTGATTTACTCTCTGTTACTAAATTTCCCAGCATTCACATCGTCAAATTCACCAACTACATTTAGTTTGTTTTGTCCGCATATATTTTATTGTTGGCTTTTCACTTCTCATGTCAGTATGATAACTAGGTTAAATCACCAGAAACAAGAACGTCGATATATGGCTGGTAGTGTTATTCACTCGTTCGTTGAACGACGATCCAGTGACGCGATATGATCGGTACATGATCTGTTCTTGCGGAGGCCATCTTGTTGGTCTCTAAGTCAGGGATCACTTAGTCCCTCATTCTGTTTAGAAACAATCCATTTGGAAACTTCGCCTGTTACTGATACTAGTTTGATGCCTCTGTAGTTTTCACCCAGTACCTACTGACATTTCAGAAACAGTACGTTGTCAGACTAAATACTTACTAGGACATGGCGCTTGGGATTCTTTGATCACATTGCTGAAAAAGAGACGTTATCTATTCATTATTTCTGTTTGAATTTAAAGTTGGCACCGTATATACTCGTGTTTCGAGCTAAGGTATTCAGCTATGTTTCCTTCAGTTAACATTTGGAATCTTCTACATTGATTTTAATATTCTCGAAGACAACGTCGATAATTTTAAGAATTATTTATTATTATTCTTGCTTGTTGATATGGCTATCGGGGTAAAGCAATAATGAGAGGTTCGTCATCCGGACTTCTTAATTTTTAGTAACTACATGTGCTCGAATTCCCTGTTCATTAGGATTTTCCACCATGTGGTATCAACAAATCAACTTGGGTCTCTCAATGTTTATCATCACTGTATGTACTTTATCATATTTTCAAATTAATTCAGTGATCCAGGAGTAAATGCTTTTAAAAACGATGATGAGCGTTTTATCGTTCATTATGTTTGTCAATAACGCAGCCTGTGTCTAAACATCTATAGCATATGGCTGGATATTTGGATCTAAATATGCAGAAAATCGATGCTCCACTAAAACCGATTATTTAGTTTTGCGATAAAACTTTCTTAAATAATTACTCTGTTTTCTCTCTGTTTCGGTTATGTTGGATATGCATGATTATCACAATGGAACTGGAATGGCGAGTTTCGCTTTATTTTCTGACTCAGAAATTATGAAAACATTTCTCTATATTATTGTCGTTAACATCATGCCAGTAATGTTGTACTATTGTTTGCTCATTCGTTCTGAAGTGGCAGTTGGAAACAGTTATTCACATTGTACTTCATTTTCTATAAGCCAGTTAATACTCCTACTTCTATTACTGATCATTATTCCAATAACCATGTAAATGTGATGATAAAATTCGACCATTCGTGGGATAAATGAGACCTGTTGACCACAAGCTCGATATAAGAGACCCTGCTGTGTCTGACAAATAGGCTATTGAATTCAATTATCCGAATACTTTTCTGTATTCTTTTCTTCAACTTGTTTGACTGACAAAAAAAATTAAAACTTTGTATATCTCAAGATTTATTGCCAGCAGTCATGAGTCGCAACCTTCCGTCAACAAAAAATTTTACAGAAGGTTTTTTTTAATATTTCTCTCGCAAATCATATGTATGGAATCACCATCTTGCTTCATTTAAGATAATCGAAAATTGGGACCCAGGGCTAACAGTGCAACGACTTAGACAGACGAACATCTCAAGTTTAATTTCGCTTTTAAAGAACAGAATCCACGGTTACGAAAGTCTCTCATTGCTGATGTCCTTGGTTTGAGGAAAGTTCTGTTACATTCTGGGTACAAATAAAAAAAATACTGTTTTTGCGTTACAAGTTGCAAGGATGCCGGAACATCGGCTATAAGTGCATTATGAAGAGATATAGACTGGCAGATTTACTTTCCTAAACAACACGATTATGGGAAGCATTACCTTCCCTTAGGAACATACTCAAAAGGCTACATTTGTGGAGTCCGGAACATTCAGAGAAATACAGATCAACTACATATACATCGATGAAAAATTCAAAAGCCCCATGTAGGATATAAGAACAAAGAGGGGAGTTAACGCAACATCAGACAACCACCAGGAGTTGACAAAATAAAACTAAATCCGAGAAAGTGCTGGATGCTTAATGCAGCTTTCATTTGACATGTTGAAATGCTCATCAAATTCGAAATAGCTCTTCGTAGCATAATCTGAGTTTTCGGAGACCTATTATCAATTATAGCCAGGTAATATTAATGTTTATCACGTAACTGTTCAGATTACACGGTGAAGTGTGCTTGGACACTTTTAGGTCATAACATGCATAAACACCACTCATAGCTGCCTTAACTACGGAAGACACTAACTTACACTGACGCCCTGGAGGTTGTACACGTATAACACTGAGAATTATAAACACCTTTAGATCATCTAACAAACGTGTTCGAAATATGGTGTATGTTGTACCAGCCTCAATTCGAATTAACAAAAGCAGCTTGATCAATGCTGGTACATCAGCCTGAAATGGTTTCTTCACAACACTTATGTAGTCATAAGTTGTTTGTGAACCATAATAATAAAATTTTAGCCTAGATTTAGATTTAACTTCGAGCCTGTGCACTGAATAAAACGATCTTTGAATATAACCTAGGTTTTTATAGAAGTCTCGTCATAAACACATCCCGCTCTAGAAAATGATCTTTACAATTTGTACGGCCATAACAAATGCCGCTTATAAATGAAATTTGGTATCAAACAGTGAGTCAAGGCAATGGGATACAGAATTTACTTAAAACACAGACATCTTAAACTTCACTACACTAGTTTTAACAGACCCAACTAGGAAATTGACAACAACCATGGCAACCACGTTCGATCATTGAGGCATACTATACATGATCATACCCACTTTAGTAGATAACTATATGAGGAAAGAATAAGAGCTGACGAGCTCAAAGAATAGTCCCACGGGCTGTGTTCCCGTTTTAAAATCACTGCATACAAGAGGTGACCGAAGCCTAATTCCCACTATCTCTGGGTGTTTCTATGTTTGAGTAAGACATTACTGATCTAGGACGTAACGAGCCTTCTGACGCTGGCCAAACACTGTCGGTAGCTGGAGTAGTGAACTATGTACTGAAAGTGATTCGTGTGTCAATTTTGTAAGTGCGGTTTCGGGAGAAGCTAATTACTAGACTTTGAGACCTAAAAGATGTACACTTCATTCGAAGCCAAAAAAAGTGAAGTGAAATTGTGCAACGAATGGTGAATTACTGAAACCATTTACCAGAAGATGTAACAGCAGCATTGAAAGCGAAATAGGATCTTCACAGCACTAGAAACTGCAAGGACTATTATTTGTCGAAATATTTCCTATCCTCATTATTGAAGTCTGAAGATCGAAGATGCCTACCGTTTATTGTTACTGTCACGACTGTTTAGTTTTTACTGGCCAAATAATATATTAGGAAAATTTGAATATCTTTAGAAACACTGAGACAACTGCTTTTACGGCTGGTCACAGGTTATTGGATATTGAAGTTTTTTAGACTACATGAAGAAGTACAAAAGTGATACCCTACCGCTTGTTTTGGATCTGTGGCTGCGGCGCGGTATTATCATTTTCTAATCTTGGTGTTAGGATTGCTGTGAATTTATAATTTCCAACTCCTACTCTCGCTATTTTTTTTTGATTCACGCTGTGCGTAAATTGATTTGTTGGCTCATATTATCCTTAACTCACATTGCAACTCTTGATAAAACTTTAAATTACTGACGTTTAACGCTAAAAACAACCTGGTGATATGATGAAGCGCAGCAAACGTGCAGTTATTCAGTCTCCGTCATCGTCTACACCGACAATTTCAAGACATGGTCTAGATCATTCACCACTATTTTCCCTATGCAACAGAGATTCAGACGATAATTCTGCAGAGCAGTTTGGATTGCAAGTTTCTCCTTTGTTTTCAAGAAGTCGGCTTTTGTCTGCAATATGTTCTCCTTTAGAAATCGATTCACAGCCTACTAAAGGATGTTTTAGTTGCATGTCTCCTGGCTGTGGTCGTGACACTCCGTCCCCAGATGGCCATGTATTTAATCCAGACTTGTCTGACCGATCCATCGGTAAGGGTTACTTAAGTGACCATTTACAGCATAGTCTTTCCTATGCTCGCCGTATGGAGCAGCGTGCGCTGCACATATCCGCACGAATTTCACAGTCTGCAAATTTATCAATGAGCCCGCGCCTTCTTTTCACACCTGAAACTTGTAATTCTTCGGACACCGCTGATTCGATCTCAGGGCAGCGAAAAAGGCAGTCTGTAGTTGACGATCTAAATATGCATTCCTTTATGACAATCAGTCAGCAAACGACTTCAACTGTGGAAAGATATGCTCGCCTTGCAGATGTGTGTCCTGACTTACTGAATCGTCGCACTGTGAATAGATTTATGAGCCAGTACATACCAGGAGAAAAGCATCAAGAAGAAAGACCTATTGGAATGAATCCGATCTTCAACTGTAGCAAGTAATTGACCTAATTTAGTCTAACGAATGAACAGTCTTGCAGGATCGTTCTCAAACCTTGTTGATATCTGTCGAACTAGACTGGCTGTGTTGTATAAAGCTAGGCATCGTCTGAGTGGCGTTTTATACTGCTTGAAGAGGTCACGCTGCGATTTTGAACTAGAACATCTTAACGGAAGGTAAGTCAATATAGGTTTACGGGGTACTCATTATCATATTATTGACACTGACTTGTATCAATATCGAAATTTCCATTTTGTTTCATAAGCCATCTTTTGTATGCTCAGTATATACAATTAATTTATCTCTGGGTGGTGAGTGACCGATGTGGTATAACAGGTACTTCTTAGTGCAGATCGAATACAATCAGCCAAGTTATGTGACCACTAATCTAGTTAATTCGACATCGTGTTCACCATGTTGAGGTGTAAGGTGGTGGTTGGAGGTAG